ACCATGGAGGGCACAATGCACGGTGGCCTGACTGAACAGAGCGGCCAAGCAGCACAACGGCTTGACGCGAGCGGTGTCTGGCCATTGGTTGGGGTGCTGGACTAGTGGCACATCTTGTCCATTAATTCGGGCTGGATATTCGCGGCATCCCATGCGAGGAAGGGGGGGGGGCGTGGCAGTCACCCGTGACAATGAGGGTTGGGCCGAGTAGGGGACAGGCTCCCAGAGTTTGCCCACACGGCTGCGCCCGCTCCGATCAGCCACCTCGGGCGCCGCCACCCGGGCCGAGGGCCGAAGTCAGTGGGCGGCACGACGGTGTTCGGGGTGGCTTGGGTCCTCCAGGCCTCGTTCAATATTCGCCACACGCGATTTCCTGGAGGCCCGCCTTCACCAGCGCGCTCTTGAGCAGGGTGCTGGCTATGATCTTGCGATGGTGGTAACGGTGATAATGGTGATGACGACGAAGACGATGATGATGATGATGATGATGATGATGATGATGATGATGATGATGGTGTTGATGATGATGATGCTGATGATGATGATGCTAACGGTGATAACGGTGGTAACGGTGCTGGTAATGCTGATGAGGATAATGATAAAACTGAAAATGATGATGATTATGGCGAAGGTGTTGAACATTGTGATGCTGATGATGATGATGACAATAACGATGGCGCTGTCAATACTCGTGATGAGGGCGATGACGACTATGTTGACGATGATGATGCTGATGATGCTGATGATTGTGGTGGTGGTGGCGGTGTTTGTGATGATGATGGCTTATCATCACCATGATGATGATGATGTTGATTTCCATGATGACGATGCTGATGATGATGATGAGGATGATGATGGTGGTGGTGGTGATGGTGATGATGGTGATGATGGTGATGGCGATGGCGATGGCGATGGCGATGGCGATGGCGACGGTGATGATGATGATGGTGACTACTGTCGTGGTGATGCCGTTGCTGTTGACGATGATGATGAGGGTGGTGCAGATGGTGATGATTCTGATGATGCTACTGGATATGGTGTTGGTGTTATGTTGGTGATGGTGATGTTGATGATGGCGATGGTGATGCTTATGAGCGTGATGATATCGATCATGATGATGCTGATGGTGAAGGTGGTGATGCTGATGATGCTGATGATGCTGATCCTGATGGTGATGGTGATGATGATGCCGACGACGATTGACGATGGATGATGATGTTGATGGTGACGATGCTAGTGACGCTTATGCTGATTATACGGCTGATGATGATGGCGATGATGATGACGATGAGGAGGACGAGGAGGAGGAAGAGGAGGAAGAGGAAGTTCGTCAATGTGTCACCTTTCCTCTTCACTATTTGAGGACCTCTCGTGTGACCTCATGTGACTCATTTGGGCCGTTTTGTGGCTGTCTTGGCCTCCTGTGAGGCAGTGTTGGGGGTCCCTTGAGGCCTTCGTGGGCCGTTTTGGGGCCCTCTTCGGCTGTCTTTGGGATTTTTGGGTCGTCTTGGGGCCCTCTCAGCCGTATGGTTGGTGCCTGGGGGCCGTCTCGGCGCCGTCCTCGTCGACGGGTTTGCTAAGGTCACCTTGGGTCCGACGGGGGGCCCTCTAGGGCCGTCTATGGGCCGTTTCAGATGCCTCTTGGGCCCAAGTCAGGCCCACTTGGGTCATCTTTGAACCCTCGTGAGACTTTATTTGGTCGTTTTACGTAGGGCCATCATGGTCGTTTGTTGGGCTGTTCTTGAGCCGACGGAAACCCGAGAAGGCGAGAATGCGAACATCATCGGGGGGGCAGTTACAAATCCATGAGTTTGACGTCATGGGGCTCTGTCGGAGGTCCTCTCGGGGCCATCTTTGGGCCCTGCTGGAGACATCTTGGGCCGTTCAGAGGAGGAGGAGGAGGAGGAGGAGGAGGAGGAGGAGGAAGCGGAGGAGGAGGAAGCGGAGGAGGAGGAAGAGGAGGAGGAGGAGGAGGGAGGAGGAGGAGGAGGAGGAGGAGGAGGAGGCAATGTTGGGCCGCCCTGTGGCCATCGCGCCCCGCGCTTGGGGCCTCCTGGGCCACCCTGGTTGCCTTGGTTGTCCGCCTGGGCCGCTCTGGAAGCTCGGGGCGCGGACACGTCGCTCTGTCCTCGGCAGGGGTCGTGGCCTCGGGAGCGCGGATCCATACAGGGCAGTTTTTAAGACATGGGATTTTTAAAATCATAGGATTTGTAGTACATGATTAGTTCATGAATGAATTTATGCATGAACTCATCGTTTTAATGCTAAATCCTAGCATTTTTATACATGATCCGCGCGCGGAGTATGTATTAAAAACGGCACTGTGTTGCGAAGGCCTTACGGCCGGTGCCGCCGACCCTGAAGGCGGCGACGACGAGGACGGCGAGGTGCCGAGCTGCGAGGCGAGGATGCAGGCCCTCCTCGCCCGTGCCTGGGCGGAGGAGGCCAGGCAAGGGCCGCCCACCTGGACCGAAGTCTACTAAGCTTTCAGTAATTCGTGTGGTAGTGTCACCTGTGTTCTTCGGAGCCTTTCTTCTTCTTTTCTTATTATTGTTCTTACTGTTCTGGTTGTTTTTCCTCTTATTTTTATTATCATGTTTCTTCTTATTATGTTTCTTGGGGCACTCCTGGGAGCTTCAGGGACGCTCTTTGGGCCATCTTGGCCTCGGGGGCGCGAGTCCATATGTTTCCGCGAGGGATCGCGGCCTTGGGAGCAGGGGGGATCCGTGCGCCCGCCTGCTACCGAAGGGCGCAACAGGGGTCGTGGCCCCAAGAGCGTGAATCCATATTTTTCATGAGGGATCGCGGCCTCGGGAGTACACGCCCGTCGTTGAAAGTAGGTATTTCTGGATTCCCAGATCCCATTCTACTTCAAGCGCCTTCCTACTTCAAGAATCGACACGCTTTTGCTGTGCTTTGTTATTCTCTGGGGGGGCCTGGACCCAATCCACTGTATCCGCCCTTCTCCTTCATGTTTTTACCTACTTCTTCAGATCGACGTGTATTTTTTGATGAGGGATCGCGGCCTCGGGAGTAGGGGGAATGCGGGCGGGGGGGGGGGCGCTCCTTCTTATCCTACAGGCCCTGCACAGCACAAGGCCTGACAGCCCCACGCGTGCATATCTCGTGCGGGGCAGGGTCGCGGATGCAGGCAGAAAGTGTTAGAGAGGACCTCGACGGCGATGACGAAGAGGCAGGGAGGAGGGAGCAACGCCGCAGCAGCAGCAGCAGCAGCTGCCGCCGCCGACGTCGACTGCCTCGCCCTGCACGGCGCGCCCGCCGCGGCCCAGACCAGGGCGCTGCGCGGCGGAGCGACCCGCGCCACCTGCGGCCGGGCTCCTTCGGCTTGCCGCGTCGCTCCGCGGCCTCTGGCCCGCCACGCATCGGCGCGACGCGCTACAGTCGGGGCCCTGAAGAAGGAACCCTTTTCGTTGGGGAGGGGCTCCGCGTTCCTTAAGTGTTTCACAGCCTGCCTCAGGTTTTCCTTATGTTTTCGACAGGAAATCGAAGTTTAACTTATGGAGAAAAAGGGGCCTCGTTCCTTATTTAGGGTTCCTTAGGTCAACGCCCCGACTGTATCCACACCGCGGCCCCCGGCCGCCCGCGTCCCGAGCCCTGCTCTTGCCTCCCGTGCCGCGGGCGGCGGGGCGACGAGGGCGATCCGCGTGCTCGACGCAGCGTGTCGCCGGGGCCGCCGCCGCAACGCGCTCAGCAGCCGCTCCCGACCTGCGGTGTGGGGCATCGGGGCCTTCGAGCAGTCCGAGTAGATGCTTCTGTTGCGCGTTCTCGTTGCGCTTTCGTTTTGGGGTCATCTTGATCAGCGGGAGGACGCTGCAGTTTCGCGCCAGTTTCGTTTGTGTTTGTTCCTTCCAGTGCTGCTCCAGTTTCGTAGCCGTGTCGGTTCAGTTTTGTCCCAGGGGGAGAAGTCGTCCCAAAACGAATCTGGAGGAAAATCAAGGGCGCGCGCGTCACCGGAGGGCCCTTTGACTTTGCACCTAACGGACCGTGCAGTGAAGACGCTGAAATAAGGACCAATTCGGGCTCAGGAGGGGCGCTTCTTGTCGGGCTGTTCCTCAGATCTGGGTCAGGGCAACTTTTCGTGGACGACGCTCTCTGTGGCCAGAAAAACCCTTCCATTTATTATTCAGTGTCCCTTCTGGTAGCATGACGATTGTACAGTCAAACCGCAAAGTACGGATTAGCATTGTTGTAATGTCACCCGAGCATATTTCCCCTTCGGCCCATCATTGGCCGCTTTCGCTGGCCGCGCCCCGCTCGCAAAGTGTCGACATGGCCTTCCAAGGCCCTTGCATCCTCACCGCGCGTGCTTATTGCACGGGTTGGTTGCGTTCCTTCTGGTAGGTAGCATTCAGTCGGGCATGTCCCCCCACAGGAGGATAAGTAAAGAACAGACGTAAATAGTCAGGTGACGTTGTTTCGTATTGTCTTGGCTATTTGAATTTATGTGTTAGATATCCTTTCTATATGGTTCTTCCAGAACCCGCCTGTAGGAGGACGTGCCCGACCGAATCCCAGACAGGCGACGTCCTGATTCTTTCAGGACGGCGCCCCCGGAAGCCCAGAGCCTTCCCGTGGGGCTGGCTCTTCCTCCCGAGTCGTGTTCTGGCGGTCCTGGGGCCCGGCGAGGGCCCCCGGGGCCCGAAAATAGCGAAAAAACGCCAGCTTTTTTTATGCGCCAAAAAGAGACGCGAGGGTGCCTGGGCCTCCTCGTGCCCCCCATCACGGTGCTGTGCGCTCGATCGCAGCATGCTGGCCGCAGCCCTCGCGGCCCCGCGCCGTGTGCACGCCCGCCGGTCGCCCGCCTCCGCGCCCTTGGCGTGAGGTCGGGCCTGTCCCTCTACAGGGGGGAATTTCCAGAGATAGTTAAAACATAGGCAACATATGATCAAACAGTAAGCAAAACATGGTCCAGAAATAATCCAGAAATCGTCAGAACTAGTCCTACATGTGTGTGATGATTTGCTTTGTTATCTTTATGTCGACCTAGCCCTCAGCGCGCGGGGAGGGCGGGCAACCTGGCCGCGCGAGAGGACCCGCGGGCCGCCGCCCCCGAGCAGAGAGACGGCCGCCCGCCGCCCCCCCCCCGCCTCCCGCTGCCCTGGAGGGTTTCTCCGAAGGGCTTAGGCGACCCCTCCTCCTCCTCCTCCTCCTCCTCCTCCTCCCCTCCTCCTCCCTCCTACACCTCCTCCTCCTCCTCCCCTCCTCCTCCCTCCTCCTCCTCCTCCCCCTCCCCTTCCTCCTCTCCTCCTCCCTCCTCCCCTCCTCCTCCTCCTCTCCTCTCCCTCCTCTCCTCCTCCTCCTCCTCCTCCTCCCCCTCCTCCTCCTCATCCTCCTCCTCCCTCTCCTCCTCCCTTCCTCCTCTCCTCCTCCTCCTCCTCTCTCCTCCTCCCCTCCCGCCACCTCCTCCTTCCTCCTCCCCCTCCTCCCCCCCCTCCTCCTCGGGTCGCCTACGGCCCCGGGGGAAACCGTGCACGCTGCCTGGCCGCGCTCGCCTGCGCCCCGCCCCCGCCGCCGCCAGCGCCAGCGCCGGCGACGACGACGACGACGACGACGACGACGACGACGAGGACGACGACGACAACGACGACGACGACGAGGAGGACGACGAGTACGACGACGACACCGGCGGCGACGACGACGACGACACCGGCGGCGACGACGACGACGACGGCGTCGGCGACGACGACGGCGTCGACGACGACGACGACGGCGGCGAGCGGCGAGCGGCGAGCGGCACGTCTGCGCCGCCATCCTCCGAGCGGCGAGAAGCAGCTTCAGACGTGTTCGCGCGCGGCGGGCCCTGGAAGCGACAGGATTTTTTGTGTACAGGTTTCAAAGTTTGTGACTTTGGGTTTTGCCGGTCCCCCCAGATCCGTCGCAGTTGTTGTTTTTTGTGGTTCCAGTTATGGTTCCGATTCCAGAGGTGTTTTCGTTCCGTTTGACTTCATCAAGCAATTACGAATCCCCCCTTTCCCCGGCGAAAGTATAACGCACCTGGCACCCCAGAAGCGTTACCCTGGCACCTCGCACTTCTATGTGAACGCAGACGAGTCTGCTCGCCGAAGCAAGCAAACCGCCTGAGACATTCTCGCAACATGGTCTCCTTGTGGTTCTGAAACAAGCGCCTCGCCTGAGACATCCTCAGAAACTGCTCTGGACGCAGACGAGTCTTCGTCAGGTGGTCGGTCAGGGCGAGAATTGGAGTGGACGCGCGTCTTCCCAGCGCTCGGCCTTCCGAGCAGGGGTCCTCTTCCTCTTCCTCTTCGTCCTTCTCAGGGGTCCTCCTCCTCCTAAGTATTCCTCCTCATCAGGGGTCCTCCTCTTCCTCCTCCTCCTCCCCCCCGTAGCCATTTTGGCTCTTATTCGCCATTACGGATCAAGCCGAGGGCCAAGGCTTCAGTCAAGAGGCCTTGGCCCAGGTAAGCAGAACAAATCCTCCTCCTGCTCCTCCTCCTCAAGACTCCCTCACGGCACGGCACCTACACCAACAACATCAACATCAAAAAACACCAACAACACCGCCAACACCAACATTAACAACATTAAGGCCCACGCAAGGGAGAGCCCAGCTTTGAAAAGGAACCGTCCATGCCTACGAAGGGGGCCGAATAATGTTGGCGCCGTGCGTGGCGGGGGGGCGATATCCTCGCATGCACACTACCCTACACGACGGCCGGGAAACGCCAATTTTTTCAAGAGGGGTGTGAATAACAATCGCGTAGGACAAGGATGATGTAGAACATGAGAAAAAGGAGGGAGGGAGGAAAGAAGCAGGGGAGCCGGTCTGTTTTCGAACTTTACTTGTATTAGTATCTTTACTCTAATTCGCATTGTTAGTGTTACTATTACTAGTTTTATTCTCATGTGTATTATTATTATTGCTATTTTTTCACTTCTTGTCTTTTTGGACAAGCTGTCGTAATTATTTTGTGCGGGTGCGGTGCTAAGATAACGCGCCGTGCGTGTCGGGGGCGAGATCCTCGGATGCACTACCCCACACGATTGCCGGGAAACAACACGTTTTCAACATTGCTAGTAATGCAATCGTAAAGGACAAGGATGAGGAAGATAATGAGACAACAACTGTTATTTCTTATCTGTGTTCTTTTTTGGATTGTTCTTCCGATTCTTAATATAAGTATGATCGTTACTAGTTGTAGTATTATTATCATTATTATTCGTATTGTATTCGGAGTCTGATTATTATTCAGATTATCAATGTTATTTATCATTATTATTACTTGTAGTACCACCATTATTATTGCTACTAGTATCACTCTTACTCTTATCAATATTATCAGTCTTGTTACTCGAATTATTGTTTGCAGTATAATTCTTATTAATATGATTATTGGTCGTATGATTTTCCTTTTCTTCATATTAATATGTTTCGGAATATGGTCCTTATGATTATTCGCATTCGTAGTTTTACTAGTATGCCCATTATGATTCGCATGCGTATCATTATTACTTTTACTCTTATCAGTCTTATTCGTCTTAATCTTATAACTCGTATGTCACTCTTGTCTTTCTTCCAATTTCAAATGGGATACCACCCGAGCCGGGGCACGGGATTTTTTGTTCGTTACATTTGCGCGGTGCTAACCATATCGTTCGGCGAAAACCGCACCCCTGAATTATTTAATTACGGTGTTGTGCTAATGATAACCCCGGTGGGGTTTTTAATGACTTCTTGGGGTTATGGGAACCGTCTTTGCACCTATGTTTACCGATTTCGTGTTTAGAGTCCATTTTTTGAAAACGATCAAGTTGGGCATCGTGTCAAGTGTTTCCGATCTCAGCTTTGGCGTCCCAAGCGCTACAACCGTTGCATGCCTAATCTGACAGACCTACATGCTACCCTTGAGAGACAAGCGTTGCAGATGTTTCCGCACTGAGCGTTTTTGCACGTTTCAGTCACTCCCACGGATCGATCTGGCTCGAAGCATGCCGCAGCAAGACGGTATCTAGGGCTGCGGTCGTGATGTTCAGCTAGATTTCGATTTTTTTCGCGACGTCAGGGTAATCATGACGTGAACACGCAGATCACCCACAACTTAGGGGAACCACGGTACTCAGCAAGGGCGAGCCACAGCTCCCAACTGTGCTGTTTGTCATGCGGCACGTTCCTTCTCTGCGCACCGGCACCCGCGTTCGCGCCGAGCACACGCCGATCTTCAGACCACGGTGATTTCCGACCGCGAACCGGCATCGAGATCTCTCCACAGCTCGCGCGGGCGGGCCTCTTCCAAGCCGTACTCCTGTTTCCTCGTGCCCCCCCCCCCTGGGGCAGCCATCGACTTCGACGCCACTCCTGGGGAGAGCAAGGGGGCGCTCCGCGCCCCGGAAGGTCGGGGGGTCTGCAGACCGCCCCGGCCTGCTCGGGGCGCGTGGTGAGGCCAGCTGGGACTACTGGGGAGGCCTGTGGAGGCCAGCTGGCGCTATCTTTAAGTCGGGCCTGTCCCCCTACAGGGGGATGTTCAACAAATATTCCAAAATGGTTTTTTTCAATCCTCACAAAACAGTCCCCAGACTATTTTGGGACTATGTTTGGACTATTGTTGGGGTAATTTTTTTTGTCGTCGAAAATCCCCCTGTAGGGGGACAGGCCCGACTTAGCGCTATCTGTCGGCGGCGAGCGAGGATGGGAAGTGAGAAGGAGGAGGCCTTCTCAAAAGGCGGCGGGGCTTCTCAGAAGCCCTCGCGCCTTTCGAGAAGTTGTCTGTGTCTTCGGGGAAGGCTTAGAGTACTTATCAGAAGGCCGGAGGGCTTCCGAGCTTTCTGAGAGAGGCCTTCTCCTTCTTTTTCCCCCCCCTCGCTGGCCGCCGAATCTGGGGGGCTTACGTATCGGCCTGACGTACCAGCTTCTAGGGGCGTTGGTACTCCCTCTGGAGGCGCCTCTGGCGCCGCCACTGCCGCGCCGCGCTTTCAAGTAAGGGGGGTCCAGCACCGATCCGGGAAATCCGCGCGGACCTCCGAAAGTTCATGCTTATGTTATTGTTTTTTCGCCGAGTTTACAGTCAACCCGCATTGTAAAGATGAGCGACTTTCCAGGGTCACCCTTGCATCCTTCCCCTTCGGCCCATCCTCGGCCGCTTTCGCTGGCCGCGCCCCGCCCGCAAAGTGTGGACATGGCCTTCTAAGGCCCTTGCATCCTCGTCGTACTCCTGTACCCAGAGCTCCGGCGTCATGTTTTTTCACAACGTCGACCCTCAGACGTCTGGACCCCTTCCCCGGGGCTGGTTTTCCGTCCTGAGTCGTCGTTTGACGCCCAGCGAGGGCCCCGGGAGGCCGAACGTAGCGCAAAACCTCCCGTCGCGATTACGAGGAATGACACAAACATAAAAACTCTGAGGTCCGCGCGGATTTCTCGGATCGGCGCTGGACCCACTCCTTGGCGCTCGGAGCGGTCCGGGGGCGGCGCCGGAGGCGCCGCCAGGGGGGTCCAGCACCGATCCGAGAAATCCGCGTGGACCTCCGAGCGTTCATGTTTCGGAGGGAGGGGGTGAGGTCGAAGTGGAACGGAGAGCCCCCCTACAGGGAAATCGGTTTCGGTTTCGTGTTCGTGCGTGCCGTGCGTGCGGGCGAGGCGAAACTGCGTGGGTGGGCGAGAAGAAAGTCTCCTCCGGCTGAGGCGCGGCCGGACCAAATGATTCCTCTCCGGGGGCCACTGCCGCGCGGTGTCCCGCCGGTGTCCCGCCTCCAGCTGAGGCGCGGCGGGACCAAATGTTTCCTTTCCGGGGGCCGGTGCCGCGCGGTGTCCCGCCGTCGTCCCGCAGGTGTCCCGTCGGTGTCCCGATGATGATGATGATGATGATGATGATGATGATGATGATGATGATGATGATGATGATGATGATGATGATAATGATGATGATGATGATGATGGTGATGGTGATGGTGATGGTGATGGTGATGGTGATGGTGATGGTGATGATGATGCTGATGCTGATGATGATGATGGTGATGATGGTGATGGTGATGATGGTGATGGTGATGATGATGATGATGATGATGATGATGATGATGATGATGGTAATGGTGGTGATGATTGTCTCCCGATGATAATGATGTTGACGATGTTGATGATGATGATGATGATGATGATAATGATGATGATGATGATGATGATGATGATGATGCTACTAATGATGATGATCATGATGGTGATGGTGGTGATGATGATGGTGTCCCGATGATGATGTTGATGATGATGTCGCTGACGATGATGATGATGATGATGATGATGATGATGATGATGATGATGATGATGATGGTGTCCCGGTGATGATGATTATGCTGATGATCCTGATGTTGTTGATGACGATGATGATATGATCATGATGAAGATAATGATGATGATGATGATGATGATGATGATGATGATGATGATGATGATGATGATGATGATGATGATGATGATGATGATGATGATGATGATGATGATGGTGGTGGTGATGATAATGATGTCCCGGTGATGAGAAAGAGCGTGTTCTACCGCTGCTGGCAGAAAACCGGGGGGGGGTCACTACGGGTTCGAACCTCTCCCCCCCCCCCCTCCGGAAAACCGGGGGGGGGGGTCACTACCGGTTCGAACCCCCTCCCCCCCCCCCCAGTTCATCATGAAAAGGGGGGGGTCACTACCGGTTCGAACCCCCCCCCCCCCCCCCCCTCGAAAACCGGGGGGGGTCACTACCGGTTCGAACCCCCCCCCCTCGAAAACCGAGTGGGGGTGCGGACAGTGGTGGGGAGGGTGTTGGTGGGGACAGTGGTGAGGGGACAGCGGGACAGTGGTGGGGACACTGGGACAGTGGGACAGTGGTGGGGACGGTAGTGGTGGGGACAGTGGTCGGGACAATGGTGGGAACGGGGGGGACAGTGGACAGTGGGGGGGACGGTGGTGGTGGGGACAGTGGTGTGGGGACAGTGGGAATGAGGTGGAAACAGTGGGACAGTGGAGGGTACAATGGTGGTGGGGACAGTGGTGAAGGCGGTGGCGAGGACGGCGGGACAATGGGACAGAGGTACAGTGGGGACAATGGTGGGGACAGTGGAGACAGTGGTGGGAACAGTGGGGCAGCTCAGTGGGACAGCGAAGGAGTCAGTGGGACAGTGGGGACAGTGGGGATAGTCGGGCAGTGGCTGGGTCCGTGGAGACAGTGGGGACAGTGGAACCGTGGTGGGATCAGTGGTGGGAACAGTGGGGACAGTGCGACAGTGGTGGGGGCACTGGTGGGGACAGTAGGGACGGTGGTGGAACCAGTGGGGACAGTGGTGGTGAGGACAGTGGTGCTGGGAACAACAGTGGGGGATGTGATGCGGACGGTGGTAGGGGCCGGGAGTCGTTTGCTGGCGGTGCGTGGGGGGGGGGGTGGAACCGGTAGTGACCCTCCTCCAGTTTTCCAAGGGGGGGGGGGGGAGGGGTTTCGAACCGGTAGTGAACCCGGTTTTCCAGATCCCAGGGGGGGGGGGGGGGGGGTGTCGAACCGGTAGTGGACCCCCCGCCCCGTTTTCGAGGGGGAGGGGGGGGGGGAGGGGTTAGGGGAGGGGGGGGTTTTGCCGGGGGAGGGGGGGGGGGAGGGGGGGGGGTTCCAGCAGGGGGGGGGGGGGGGATTTTCGGAGGGGGGGGGGGGCGACCCCCGGGTGCCGGAGGAAAAGGCTGGCAATCTTCCACAGTAAAGCGGCGGTGGATCACGCGCTCTCCATGATGATGATGAGGTTGATAATGTTGTTTTATGATGATGGTGATGATGATGATGGCGCCCCGATGGTGATGAAAATGTTGATGATGATGATGATGATGACGATGATGTCCCGATGATGATGTTGATGATGAGGATGATGATTAGGTGATGATGATGATGACTTTGATGGTGGTGGCCCGATGATGGTGATACTGATGATTCTGATGTTGATAATGATGATGGTGCCCCGATAATGATGATGATGGTACGAATGATCATGGTGACGATGATGGTGCCCCGATGATGGTGATTATGCTGTTGATGATGATGTTGCTGATGTTGATGGATGGTGTCCCGGTGATGGTGATGATGTTGACGATGTTGCTCATGATGATGATGATGATGATGAAGAGATGATGATGTGGATGGTGGTGTTCCGATGATGATGATGGTGTCCCGATGATGATGCTGATGATGATGATGGTGACGATGATGGTGCCCCGATGATGATGATGATGATGATGATGATGATGATGATGATGGTGATGATGATGATGATGTTGATGATGATGGTGATGAGGTGATGATGATGTGTCCCGATGGTGATGATGTTGATGACGTTGATGTCGATGTTGTTGTTGATGATGATGACGTTGATTGTGATATCGATGTTGATATCGATAGTGAGATCGATAGTGAGGCTGAATGTGGGATCGATTGTGAGATCGATAGTGAGATCAGTAGTGATATCGATTGTGAGATCGATAGCCAGATCGATTGTGAGATCGATCGAATGAAATAGATCGAGTGAGATCGATTGTGAGATCGACTGAGTGAGATAGATCGAGCGAGACCGATAGTGAGATCGATACTCAGATCGATAGTGAGACCGATCGAGTGAGACGCTGGTTCCTCCCCCCCCCGAACCTCCTTATCACCCGAAGGGTGGCCGTATAGGTACGTTATCATTGTTCATTCCCCTAGATGTGTTCACAACGTGAGGAGGTCTGGGTGTGGTACGTGTTGACTGCCCGCCACCGTTTCTTGCAGGTCCTCCTGCTGGGTGGCGCCCAAGAAGACAGGGTGGGTTTCAGTCGGGCTTATTTTTTCCAGGAGGAAATGTTCAAAGATAGCAAAACAAGTAGTATGGGGACGATTCTGGAGTATTTTGAATATTTCTCTGGTTATATGTTAGGCATGTTTTATCTCTTGCCACGAACCCGCCTGTGGGAGGACTTGCCCGACCCGAGGGCGGGTCGGCACGACGGGCAGCGGCCACCAACCCCCCCCGCCGCGAGGTCCGCCGGCCGCCTCCGCGCAGGGGGGCTTCGACCCGTGGTCCAAGGCGCTGGACCGCCACAAGGACGGGACGGCGGCGGGGGGGAAGACTCGGGGGCGGAAAAGAGGGGGATGATGACTAGAGGGGGGTGGATATCATGGCGTGGGCCATGATTTTTCCCCAGATTTCAGGGCGCCTCTTCTTATTTCATCACGTCCCTGGCCCCCCCCGCTGGGCCGCGCACATGCCGCCGGTCATGATTTGCGCCCCCCCCTCTTTGATGCCCCCCTCTTTGCCGCTCCCGAAAGACCCAGACCTCCTCGCGCTGGGGAAGGCCCAGACCTCACATCCCAGAAATAAGGTCGAGCACCCGGAAAAGTGTCGAAAGAGGGTCGAAACAGCGTCGAACGAGTGTCTCCCAGGGCCCGACACGTGAGAACCCTCAAGTTTCGGTACTATCTTGGTGCTTGAAATTCTTTCTGATGGTCAAGGCCAAAGTAGGTTGGAACACGCTGTGAAAACATCACGACGGGGGGGGGGGTCGCTATGTTCGGCCTCCGGGGGGCCCTTCCCGCGAGCCTCGGGGCCGTCAAAGAAGGACTCGGGAAGAACAGCCGGTCTCTGGGAAGGGGTCCAGACCTCTGCGTCTGGGGGTCGACGTGAAAAAATAGGGGACCAATAAGTGACATAAACATACAAACTCAGAGGTCCGCGCGCGGATTTCTCGGATCGGCGCTGGGCCCCCCCGGCGGCGCCTCCGGCGCCGCCCCTGGCGCGCTCCGCGCGCCAGGGAGGAGGGTCCAGCGCCGATCAAAGAAACCCGCGCAGACCTCCGAGTTTTTATGTTCATGCCACTTTTTTGTCCCCCTAAAAAATCACGACGTCGGAGGTCTGGGGAGGTTCGCGGTGCTCCGAGGTTCGAACTCTTCGAGTCTCGAGGGCGAGGGGAGCTCGAGGTTCGATGGCAGCGTTTCTCTCCTCGTCTTAAGGGCCTCCGCGGGGGCCGTCCTCGGGCCTCTCGAGGCCCCTTCGGAGCTCGATCCGGGGGTTGAGGGCCCGCGTCGGATGGACCCCGGCAGGGGTCGGGGGCACCGATCTTGACGGACGTTCGGCGGCGCGCCTGTCCCCCTACAGGGGGATTTTCGACGAAAAATTAAAAGTATATTTAAGATATTCCCAAATGATTAAAACATACTTTTAAAAATAGTCCCCAGACTATTTTTGGATTATGTTTGGATTATTTTTTGGGGTATTTTTTATTTTCCGTCGAGAATCCCCCTGTAGGGACACCGACCTTGACTCGGGAGCCTTGAGACGGGGTTCAATGCAAACGGGGGTCAGCCAGGGCACCAGAGCCTGCAGGATGCTGCGAAGACCCCTCTGGCTGACCCGGGTCAGCGAGCCGCTCGTGGCCGCGAGGCGGCCGCGCCTGGTGGCTGACCCGGGTTTGCGAAGATCTGCGTTGCAGTGTTTTTTTTTTTTCTTGCATTGCAGTTTTTGGTTTCCTTGTTTTTGTTTGTCGTTTTGTTTTTGTTGTTTTGCTTTTTTTGTGTGTTGGTTTGTTCCTGCTCTCTTGTGTGTTTTTTTTTTTTCTTGCATTGCAGTTTTTGGTTTCCTGCTGACCCGGGTCTGGATGACCAGGGTCAGGAGATCCCCGATTGACGGACATTCGGCGGCGCGTTTGGGGGGGGAAGTGAGAAGGAGGAGGCCTTTTCGGAAGGCGGCAGGGCTTCGCAGAAGCCCCCTCGCGCCTTTCGAGAAGCTTGCGGTGTCTTCGGGGAAGGGCTCAGAGAGCTTCTCAGAAGGCCGAGGGGCTCCCGAGCGTTCTGAGAAGTCCCGCCCCTTCTCGCTTCCCCCCCGGGGCTCGCCGCCGAGAAGAGGAAGGCCATCCGCCACAACAAGCATGCGCAGACGCCATCTAATGTATTGTCCCTGGGCCTCAGGGAGGGTGGCGGTGTGTACATCACCACTGGGGAGCCACCGACTTTGGACGCCGTCGCCCTCCCCGAAGGCGCATGCCAAGTTCGTCGGAGCGTGTCTTTGTATGCACTTCCGTGGCGTAGACCCTGCCATGCGCTCAAATTCAGGCGCTTCAATTTTTTACAGCAGCGGCGTTCGCCCGTCTTCGAGGCCCGGGACCATGACAGATCGATCTGGCTCGACAGATGCCGCAGAAAGGCAGGGTCTAGGGCTATGGTCGTGACTTTGCACGATATTCCAATTTGTTTCGCAACGTCGGTTCTCAGGGGGTGCAGAGGTGGAGAACGAGGAGGAGGATTCGGAGGAGGACCGGTGTAAACCAAAGAGCCATCAACGATGTTGGAATGAACCTTCCCTCCAAGCTCCCTCTTCATAGACCCCTACAAGTGCTCATTTCCACTGAGGGGACTACTTCGTTGGAAGACAACCGTTTGAAGACCCTGAAGCATGCCAAAACATTATTCTTGGAACTCCAACGAAACGGATCAGCCTGACTGTTGCGTCTTGACGATCCCGAATCGCACCAGAACCCCATTCCGGGGACTTAGACACCGCGAATGAACGTAACTGTTGTGCGCTCATAATCTGGAATTGTTCCATAACGCAATTTGTGGTACGCTGACCACGGGAATCTGTAAAACTCTTCCAATTTTGAAAGGAATGTGCGCGGCGCGAATGCTAGAGCCAGATTTTGAAAATGAGCCGCCTTCAATCCGTAAAACTGTTACACATATCTAAACTCAATGTGCGCGGCGCTGAGGCGAGAGCCACATTTTGAAAACGACCCGCCCTCCATCTTGGAAACTGTTGCCAGCTTGTAAGCTTTAGGGTCATGAATGGTCAGGAAGCCTCATATGAAACGCCTGGCCCGCCCTTTCTATTGGCCTCGGGGTGTGACAGGGAAAAGTTAGTTATAAGGGAAGAATTGGAGGTGGAGAAGGAGGAGGAGGAGGAGGAGGAGAGGAAGCAGGAGGAGGAGGAGGAGGAGGAGGAGAAGAGGGAAGAAAAGGAGGAGGAGGTCGAGGAGGAGGAAGAGGAGGAGAGGGAGCAGGAGGAGGAGGAGGGGGAGGAGGAGGAGAAGAAGGAGGAGGAGAAGGAGGATTATACCCAGAGGCTTCAACTCCGCGGCTGGATCCGTCTCCAAGTCCTGGCCAGAACGCGCCCCATGGAGAGGTCTTGGGGAGCACTGCAGCGGCACGGTAGGTTCGCGCGGCGCTGGCCCCGGCGAGGGCGTTCCAGGTTGTGAGCTTTGCGCTCTTGCGGCGCTGGGGGCGCGCAGGAACACCGCATGGTAGAGCGACGCGGACGCACCGATGGGGCACGATGCGCAGGCGCCCAGGCGCACCTGGCCGGGGCCACAGGACCGAGGGGCTCTGGAACACAGGGCCCGACGGAATTTGACCAGGTGGTCGTTTTCGTGTCCATTGTTTCGCCGATCGGCGCGGGCCATCGCACCCCCCCTCCCCCCCGCGGTGGAGTAGATCCTGGCTGTTGTTGACGCCTGTTTCAGGCAGGCGGGGCCTCCTCCACAGCACGCGCTGTTGCGAGCAGTCGCATCCCGCAGAGATCCAGAGCCAGACCCCCCCCCCCGCCCCCCCTCCTTCCGCCCAGTGTCGACCCGCCGAGTACAGAAAACGTTCACGATCGAGCCGAGGCCGAGCGATCCACGCGGCTTCGAGGACCCACCGCCCGGCGCGCCCGCCTCGCCTGGCCTCCCGCGCTCGCCCGTGCGCGCGGGGCCCAGACGGCCGGGGGGGGAGGCCGGCGCCCGCACCGCCGGCGGCCGTCGCCCGTCGTCGTCGTCGTCGTCGTCGTCGTCGTCGTCGTCGTCGTTCGTCGTCGTCGTCGTCGTCGTCGTCGTTCGTCGTCGGCGTCGCTCGTCGTCGTTCGTCGTCGGCGTCGTCGTCCGTCGTCGTGGCGGTCGTGGTGCTCGTCGTCGTCGTGGCCGTCGTCGCCCTCGCCGCTGCGCGCGGCGACGCCGCGCGGGCCTGCCGTGGAGCTGCCCGGGCCCTGCGGAGAGGCGATCCGCCGTGAGGAGCGGCGCTGGCCGCCCCTCCTGGGCTCTTCCGGCCCCGGCGCGGCCGCTCAGGCCTCCTGCGGGGCAGCCTCCACGGCTGCCGCGCGGCTCCGGCCGCGGCCTCGCGCGCCGCTCCGCGGGCGGAGCACGGTATGCATAAGCTTGCTTCCGCCGTCGGGGGCGCCTGCCCCTTGGGCGGCTGGAAGGTTCCTGCCCCCACAGTGCCGGTTTTAAGACACGCTCCGCGTGCGGATCATGTACTAAATTTGCAGGGACTTAGCATCACAAGCAACGATGAGTTCATGCATAAGTTTGTTTATACATTAATCATGTATTAAAATCCTATGTATAAAAAAACTGCCCTGTACGGTGCCACGCGTCGGGGTATAAGCTTTGCCGCCGCCGAGGGGCTGGCGTCCCGGACGGCGGAAGAGTTTGTCTTCTGCCGCCCTTCGCCCGCCAATTCGCAGGCGATCCCCCCCCCCCGATTTCTGACTTTCTCCGAAGAAGAACATCGGAGGTGGATAGACCTCCTACTCTGACACGTCGATTAGCGAATTGGCCGTTTTCGGTTCGCGAGAGGGTGTCGCGGCCGTCATTTTTGCGGGGCCAGGTCCGCCGGTTTCGGTCCCAGGCCGTTTTCACAGGGGAGGCTTACTAAGGGGAGGTTTGTCCACCACCGAGAACACAAGAAACGACATAAACACAAACTTCGGGAGCACCGCGCGGATTTCTTGGATCTGCGTTGGGCCTCCCTGGCGGTGCCTCCAGCGTCGCCACTGGCGCGCTCCGCGCGCCAGGGAGGGGTCCAGCGCAGATGCAAGAAATCCGCGCGGACCGTCGACATGTTGTGTGTATGCAGCGTTTCCTTTTTATCTTCGGCGAAAAAGGACACCGCTCGGGAAAGGAGGGAAACCCTGGGAGACCCCCAGTAGGCTATGTTCGGACGCACCCCCTAATGAGGATGGGCGCCTCCCCCTCTATCCTGTGTCCCAGGGTTTTGGCCCCAAATCTCTGGTCCGTTCGAAACTCCACGAATCCTAGGATAGGGGTCGACATATCCCCTGTTATTCCCCCCTTCCCTCCTCCAATTGTCGTCGAGGGAGGGGGGGACGTGAGAAGGAGGAGAAGGCCTTCTCAGAAGGCGGCGGGGCTTCTCAGAAGCCCTCGAGCGAGGGGGGAAGAGAGGAGGAGGAGGCCTTCTCCGAAGGCGTTCGGACTCGTCAGAAACCCGAGGAGTTTCCTTCTCTCGAGGCGATCGAAATGGGTACTTGAAGAATGGGTGCAAAGGCAGACAGCTGTTCCTGTCTATGTCGAGCAGGAGCCGTTGTGGGTAGCGCCGTGGGCGTTGTCCACCTCAGACAGAAGGCCGCCTGTCCAACAGCGGCCGCTGTAAGTTTTGGACAACATTTGCTATTGGGCATCGTGCCCATGTTTTCCGTACCCATTTCGGGCGTCCGAATTCTCTTATCGGCGGCGAGCGAGGGGGAAAGTGAGAAGAAAGAAGTTCTCTCAGAAGGCGGCGGGGCTTCTCAGAAGCCCGCGCGCGCGTTCTGAGGAGTTCTCCGGCGTCTCCGGGAAATTGGCCTGGGAAGCTTCTCGGGACGCCAGGGGACTTCTGAGCCTTCTTTTTGGGCCTTGGGGGAATAGCGTGCGATTCGGAGATCGATGTAGCACGCTATCTTTCCGGCCCCAACCGTATGGGAAGGCCCGCCCCTTCTCAGGCCCGAATACCTCGGCGACCTCCGTCTCACTTCCCCCCCCTCGCTCGCCGCCGACCATGAGCTGCTGCTGCGCGGAATCTGCGCTGCGCGCGCAGCACCGCCCCCAGGGCCCGCAGCAGCGCCCCCAGCGTCGCGGCGGGGCGCGTCGCGGGGGCCGCCGCCTCTCGCGGGGCGCGCCCGGACGACGACCCACCGACGACCGAAGCGGACGACGACGACGACGACGACGACGACGACGACGACGACGACGCGTGGCGCCGAGGCCTCGGCCTCCGCGCCACGCCCCATTCAATGGGCACGGGCGGGCTCTCCTCCCCCGGAGCAGCGCGGCACGCCTCCGGCGCTCGGCCTCCGCGCCGCGCCGCGCTGCGCCCCTCGGGGCCCGCCGCGCGGGCCCCGAGGGAGGGAGCGGCGCGGGAGCGCGGGGGGTCGTCGGCACAGGCGCTTGTGCGCGCGCAGGCTGCCCGCGCCCATGGAGCGTGCCATGGAGGGTTTACTCCAACATCGTTGGGGACTCTTGGGTGTGCGCTGCTCCTCCTCCTCCTCCTCCTCCTCCTCCTCCTTCCGCACTCCTCCCCCCTCCTCCTCTCATGATTTGCGCTAGTGTAGTCGTCACCCCCTCAGCCTTCCGTTACCCCCTCCTCCTCCTCCCCCTCCTCCTCCTCCTCCTCCTCCCAGGGAGCGTGCCGCTGCGCCGGCGGCCCGCTATAGAGAGCCGCCTCGCAGGGTCGCGCCGCCGACGCCTCGCGGGGAGCCGCAGGGGCCCGCCTCGTCGCCCAGGGGGGGGGGGGCGCGCTCGCCGCGGGGCCTCCGTATAGGCGCGGAGGCGTGGCGCCTCGCCGCCTCCCCCTCCTCAGGAGGGAAAAAACACACAGATACACTTAATCGTCGATTCCCAGGAAAATAGGGGAAGATATGGGAAGTAGGCGGGAAGACAAAAAAAACAGAAAACATGGGAAAATGTTGGATGATTTGTCTCTGACTCGTTTTCCTAAGTGCGAGTGGCCTCGGGAGTTTCAGAGCAGTGGAGCCGCGTCCGTCTCGTTCGCTGCTCCTGCTGTTGCTCTCTCCCTCTGCTCCGAAACCGCTCCTGCTCAAGCTCTATCATTCGTGGGGCCCCCGGCAGTGCATGGTGGTGCCGTGGGCCGCAGCCGCCCTTGGGCGGCCTCCATCGCGACCGCTTGGCTCTCGCGCTGTCCCGCGTGCCCGGAGGCCCGCGTGACGTGCGGGGCCTGCCCTGTGTGCCCTCCAGCGGCGGCCGCCGCCCCCTGCCCGGGCTGCCCGAGCTGCCCGGGCTGCAGCTTGACCTGCGGGACCGGGCCAGGCTGGTGGGCGGTCCTGGCCGCCCTGGCCGCTGGCCTCGCGGGCGGAGGCAGCCTCCGCGTGGTGCAGGGCTGGGCCGGACCGCGGCCCGCCTCGATCCTTATGTCGGGAGGACCGACCTGAAGCGGCGGCGTGAGGTGGACGGAGCCCGTGTGGGCATGCTCGTCGAGGACGCCGGAGCCTGCCAGCGACGGCGCGCTCAGCGCCGGCGTTCCGGGCGTCGAGCGTTAGCTGATCCGCGGGCCGTTGGGCGAGATGGCAATTCGCGCGGGGGCATACGCCAGAACGCGGCCTGAGCCTAAGGTGTTGCGCGAGCTTCGTCGACGACCTGAGAAACTTCGGATTGGCAGTGCACCAGGGAGATCCTCAGAGCAGCTCTGCCCTGCGGGGGCGGTGCGAAGAGATCCCGATGGCGAGGTGCTGACGCTGGACCTCAGCAAGCACCTGGTCGGCCCCCTACGCCGGGCGTCCCCGTTCCCGGCCTGGGTTCGGGGGCAGGTCTACGCGTTCGGCGATCAGTCGAACGAGGACATCGAGGCGCTGCGGGAGGAGGCGCGCGGCCTCGCCCTGGCCATGGGCGTCTCTGCCCCGGCTGGGGCTGCTGGCGGCGTCGTGCCGCGCTGGATCGTCTCGGACCCAGGCTCGCCCGAGTTCTGGCGCGAGCTGGACCTCCACCTCATCGGGAACCCGGCGCGGCTGATCAGTCGCGACGCTGTGGGCATTGCGTTGCTCAGCGAGGAGGAGGGGTGGGTCTCGGTCGAGAGCGCACAGCAGGCCGACGAGGAGGGCCGGCGCGGGGAGAAGCACCGAGGCCCGGGGCGCGACCCGGGGATCCTCCCGCTGGCGCGGCGGGCTCGCGGGGGCCAGGTGACGCTCGGGGAGGCGATCGCGAGGATGAACGCGGTCGACTTTGGCGACTGGCCGTCCTGGGGGCCGAGGGCCCTGCCCGAGCTGCTGGCCGCCATCCTTGTCACGGGGCTGACCCTCACTTCCTACTGGGGGTACTGGGTCTCGGAGTCACGTGTGTCGCGGAACGCCGGGGTGGCCCAGGAGGTGCGGCACGCGTTGAACCAGCTGCACCACGCCGCGACCTACGACCTCGTGGACCCGTCGAACCTGGCGTCTCTGGAGCTCCTGGGGCGCCGGGTGCTGCAGATCCAGCGGGCGGTGAAGAGGTGCCCGCGCCACCTGAGCTTCGAGGGCCTCGACCTGACGCTGATCAGCTCCTTGGACGAGAGCAGAGGCGTCGTGACGTCGAAGTTCGACGCGTTCGTGGCCAAGGAGCAGAATGCGCAGGGCATCATTCTGAAGGAGGAACGGATGTACCGGGTGGAGCAGGTGTCGGAGGCGAAGAAGTACGAGAGGCAGGGCGACGACAGGGAGAGGGACCCCAGGGCGGACCCGAAGGGCAAGGTGAAGCCGATGCCCAAGGCCGCCGTGAAGGATCAGGGCTGACGGCGCCATGCCGGCGCCATCATGGCTGGGCGCTCCGCCCGGCCTCACTGGGCCTGGCCCCGACTCCGCAGCCGCGAATGCGAGTCGGGCCGGGCTGCCCTCCGAGGGGGTCTCCTCCGAGGGTCGGACTTCGTCCACAGTTTTGTTTCCTCTGCCGCAGGGGGACGAGTTCTATCGCCACCCTCATCGTGGAGAACGTGCCGCTCTGCCTCGGTATCTGGCCCAGCGTGCTGCTCGTGCTGACGACCGTGATCGGAGGTCTCTCGAGGCTCTGGGGGCGCTCAACGCGCTGGCAGGCGCACGGGCTGGGGGGCGTCTCGAGCCTCGAGCGCCCGGCAAGCATCGGCCGACTACCGCCCAGGGGTCGGTCATCAAGCGAGTCCGACGTCGTGTTCGCGGCTTCGGCGACCGACCGAAAGACATGGACTGTGCTGGAGCCCTGCAGGAGCTCCTCAAGTGCAAGGATCTGTACTCGAACATGGGCGAGGCTTCTACTCGCCGCGACTATGATGCTGACAAGCTCAATGTATTACGACGTGCGCCACATGACCGGCCTCGTCAGCTTCGAGACGTCGCCCCTCGGCACGTCACCGAGGCGCTGGACCACTTCAACTCGGACGTCGTTCGGCCCACGCCGAGCATCCCCGAGGACGAGGTCATCGTGGAGCCCTACTGGGATCCTCTCCTCAACCCGCGCGACCCTCGGAACCGACCCCGCCTCGTCGACTTCCTTCGACGACTTGCTGCACGGGGCTTGGTGGATGGCCGGGCGCGTCGGAAAGCGTGCGTCAGTACCTTCTTCGTGGCCAAGAAGAACGGCGACATCCGCATGGTCGTGGACGCTCGTCAGCCCAACCAGCTGCACAAGCTCCCCCCTCGGACTGTGCTGGCATCCGGTGAGGCGCTGGGCTCGATCAACTTGCTCGACGCCGTCGGTGCGAGCCCCGAGGACTTGGCGGATTTCGATGGCTGCTACGAGTCGCTCTGCGCAGGCTCCGTGGACCTCATGGACGGGTTCTACCAGTTCGCCGACCCCTCGTGGGGAAGCTGGATGTGCTTCGACGTGGAGGTCACCGCCGACGAGCTCGGGCTCGACTCGATCTACGACGAGAAGCTCGGGCGGCGCGTGGCTGTGTCAGGCGACGACGTTATCTGGCCCTGCTTCGCGGCGTTGCCCATGGGCTGGAGCTGGGCGCTCTGGATCTGCCACGAGGTTCTCGTCGACGCGATGGACGAGGCGGGCCTCCCAGGCGACGGCTGGTGCCTTGACAAAGCCCGTGCGCCGACTCTCGTCGGACAGGCTGTCGTCAGGGCGCCGCACGTCGACAACGGGAATCTTGTCGCGCTCAGCGCGCCGGCGCTCAACGACCGGCTGGACAAGCTCACTGCTGAACTGGATCGTCGTGGGCTTCGCTGGCACGAGCTCGAGCGCGCGCAGCCCGGCCTTGTCATTTTGGGGCTGGTGCTCGACGGGCGCGAGGGCCGACTCAGGCATACTGCCAAGCGTGCCTGGAGGCTCTACCTGGCTCTGCACCACGTGCTTCGGACGCCATGGCTCGCCCGCTGGCAGCTACGGCGGATCGTCGGACACCTGGTCCACTACTTTTCCGTCGTGCGCCCCGGGCTCAGCGTGCTGGGCGTTTGCCCCCCCTGTGCTCTGCTTTTCCCTGCTTGTTGCCTCCTTTCGTATTTGTCTTGTTTGCTTGCTGTTTGCTGCTTGCTGCCTTCGTCCACGGTCCACGGACGCCCGAGTTCGATGTTCCTGTGCTTTTGCGCCCCGTGATGCGCCCCGGGCTCAGCGTGCTGGGGTCCTGCTACACGTTCATCGGAGACGGCGACCTGTCCCCTGTCGCGCGGTTGCCTGGAGATGTTCTCGGTGAGCTCGCAGTTGCTGCAGGCCTCGTCTTCCTCGGCGAAGTGGACCTGTGCCGCGTGCCGTCCGACGTCGCCTTCACGACCGACAGCTCGCTGCGAGGCTACGCCGTCTGTGAAGCCCGACTGGAGCCGTGGGAGGTACTGGCGGCCACCAGATGGCGCGAGCGCCAGCGGTTCGTTGCCACCGAGCCCGAGGTCGCGCCCGACGACGAGCATTACGAAGGGCGGGCCGCCGGCTTTTGCGACATCTCCGGGCCACTGCCCGTCGAGGTGCCGCCCCGGCGGCGGCGCGCCGTGGCGAAGAGGCGCCGGGTCGAGCTGGAGATCGGAGTCCCGCCCGAGCCGCTGGCGGCCGCTCTCCTGGACGCTGGCCGCTGGGTGGAGCGCCGCCGTGGCGCGTGGCGCCGACCGGGGCGTATCCACGCCCTCGAGGCGCGCGCCGCCGTCGCACCGCTATGGAGAGCGGCAGGCGACGTCAACTTCCACGGGAAGGAGATCCTCAGCCTGTGCGACAACATGTCGTCGGTCCTCGCCTTTGAGAAGGGCAGGGCCACCAGTTTTGAGCTCCTGGCGCAGTGCCGCCGGGCTGCGGCTGTCTGCCTCGGGCGCGAGATCCGCTGGCGCCCGAGGCGCGTGCCAGGCATACACAACGTCGCGGACCACGGGAGCCGGGCGGCCGACCGTGGGGAGCTCCTCGCGGGACGCTACCGCGGACGAGGCGCCCTGTCGACGCCCACCAGCGGCTGCCGCCGTTCTCCCGTGGTCCCGCCTGCCGCGGGCAGGGCCGAGGCCCCGCCGACCGCGGTCATCGAGTTTCAGATCGGACGAGAGCAGGCCGAGTCGCTGGGGCCTGAAAACACCGAAAGAGACTGTTGCATTCCGTCACCTTTGTCATCTCAGCTCTTCTCAACCACCCATTCTTCTTCTCACCAGAGTAAAAGGCATCAAGATGAAGTTTCGAAAGCACGCTCCAACGACCGACCCCGACAAGACCAACCTGAGCATGTTCGATGCCTCCCTGCTGCACTCGAGCCTCCTGGAGTTCCTCTACGGGGCCCACGTGTACATCTTGGAACACGCGAAGGTCCTCAACCGGACCCTCCTGAGCGCCCTCGGCCTCCTGACGTTCTTCAACAGGGCCCACCTGTACACCTTGGGCCACACGAAGAGCCTCAACGGGCACCGGCTAAGCGCCCTCGGCCTCCTGAAGTTCCTCGACGGGGTCCCCTTCGTAAAGCCTTCCTCGAGATCTTCGCGGGTACTGCAAATCTCAGTGGTGCGTTGCATGAGCGAGGTTTTCGGATCATGCCCCCGATGGACTCCAGGTATGGGCCCCACTGTGACCTCACGAGCCGTCGTGTCCAACGTCTTGTTGAACATTGGCTCAAGTCAGGAGAAGTCTGGTGGGTCCACCTGGGGCTGCCTTGTACGAGGTGGGTGCCCGTTGGGGGCACCCGCGATCCATTGCCGGCAGACCGCGCGCTCGTGGCGTTCACAGTCCGTGCCTTACGGCTCTGCCGGACCCTCGGGATCTTCGTCACCTTCGAGAACCCGCCTGCGAGCCGAGTCTGGAAGTGGCCCGCGTTGCAGCGCGAGCTGCAGCGCCTTGCCTGGCCGAAGGTGCTGTTTGACTCGTGCAGGTTTGGCGCGCCCTTCAAGAAGCCAGGTGCGATCGCCGGGAGCCTTCCTGGGCTGGGTCATCTTGCACTGCGCTGCTGCTGTGCTGGTCGCCACAGGGTCGAGCTGCAAGGCAAGGTCCGACATCCGACGCGAGGTTGGACGTGGCGTACGACTTTGGCCGGTGCTTACCTACCCAGCTGGTGCCGCCTGCTGGTCTCGTTGGCTGGCCCAGACGCCCCTCAGAGTGCTTTCGGGCGCTCGACCCAGGATGACCTCCAGGCTTGGGCTCACGCGCTGGCAAGCACGGCCGGGGTCGCCGAGCCTCGCGGAGTCTCGGCGCCGATCTGCCCGCAGCGCTTTCGGCTCCCCTGGAGGCCAGGGTGGGCCACCGCGCTCGACCCGCGCCCACGCAGCCGCTGACGTGGCGGTTGCACCAGCGCCGGCGCAGCCGCGGTCGTACTGGCAGCCGCGGGCAATGCCCGGCGTCGACGCCCGCCGGGCATCTGTCGAGGCAGGCGTCGACTCAGCCGTGCTGACGCCCAGGCGCGCAGGCCGAGGCCAACGTGACCCTGTCCCCCGTCCAGTGGCCGTGGCCGCCCGGCGCCGCCGAGCGCAGGCTGCCGCGCGTGGAGACGTCGCTGCCAGTCAGCGGCAAGCCAACCCGGGGGGAGTACCTCCGCCTGGCCTCGCTGCAGCCATCCACAGTCGACAGCTACACTTCCGCCGTGATCGGGCTGACCGACTACGCCAATCGCTGGGGCCTGCTGCTGACCACGCCGGAGCTCACAAACGAGACGCTCGACTTGTGCTTCGAAGACTGGTTCTTTGGAGGTGGGCCCAGTACTTGACTTGAGAACGCTGTATGGGCTCTGCAAAGTTCAAAGATGGTCTGCTGAACGACCTCGGTTCCATAAAGCCAAAGATGCTCTGACTGGCTGGGCGGCAAAGCTCCCGACTACGCCGCGAGAGCCGCCACAGTGTGAGGCCGTCCAACTGACCTGCGACGACAAGCCAGCCAAAAACGAGATTTCGTCTGCACAATGAAGGCCGGCACTGACTTGCCTGTTCGCCGAACTTTTTCTCGAAATTCTTCATAGGCTGAGCCCGTGCCAGACGCCCGAAGCTGCCAACTCTGTTCAATCTTTCTCCCTTTCTCTGTTTGGAAAGACTTTGGAGCAGGCCGCCCACTCAGCAGGAGTTGGTGATCTCCTGTCAGTCCCTCACTAGTTGCGCCACGAAGGGCCCTCGCACGACGCTCTGAACCGTATTCGATCGAACAAGGCCATCCGGCAGCGCCAGTGCTGGCGCGCCCGAGTGAGTGTTCGTATTTATGCAAAGCACGAGTACGCCCTTCGTCAGATGTCGAAGCTCACCGAACCGCAGAATCGTCAGCTGCCCGTTTTACTGACTCAACGGTTCGTGACATCCTCAGGCGCGTGTGTGCCGCCTAGTCTTGTCTCTTCGCCCCAGCCTCGGACCAAAGCAGAGATAATGATTTAACCCACCCGCCCTCCCAAGGGCAATTGACGATGGGGATGGGACGCAAATGTAATGGCTGTGTGTGGCAATTTTTGGTGATTGCACTTAGCCGCCGAAGTGGTCCCACTTCCCCGGCTCGATTCTTTAGAGTACCACCGTGTGTCCCACGGCGCTTGCCTGATGAAAAGAGATTGGTGATCCCTCGTCTCTCGGTTTAATCTGTGCGCTGTCGCTGTTTCCGCAGACCCCATGGGGTGGCCACGCCCTTATGATAGGAATGATTTGTCTCTGACTCGTTTTCCTAAGTGCGAGTGGCCTCGGGAGTTTCAGAGCAGTGGAGCCGCGTCCGTCTCGTTCGCTGCTCCTGCTGTTGCTCTCTCCCTCTGCTCCGAAACCGCTCCTGCTCAAGCTCCCACCCGCCGACCCCCACACACCGCAAATGTAATGGCTGTGTGTGGCAATTTTTGGTGATTGCACTTAGCCGCCGAAGTGGTCCCACTTCCCCGGCTCGATTCTTTAGAGTACCACCGTGTGTCCCACGCCGCTTGCCTGATGAAAAGAGATTGATGATCCCTCGTCTCTCGGTTTAATCTGTGCGCTGTCGCTGTTTCCGCAGACCCCATGGGGTGGCCACGCCCTTATGATAGGAAAATCTTTTGATTCGTGTGTATTTACTTGTGCGTCCCAGGGCCCCTTCACCCTCCTCCAGCCGCGCGCTGCCCTGAGGGGCCTCCTGTCTCGCTTCCGGCCCTCCCCCCCCGCCTTTGGCGGCGCGCAGGCGCCCTGGTGAGTGGGGGGGGGGGAGGGGGGGGGCTACGCCCACAGGGGGGCCAGAGGCGAAGGTTTGGATCCGCTGCCCCTCTTCGGGATCGCTCCTGGTCCACCTCCATCCTGGTGCTTCTCATCCTGACTGCCCGATCGCACGTTCGTCTTCGCTCTCCTCTCGCTGCTCCTCTGGCCGACGACGCCTGGCTGCCAAGTGCCGCATCATCTCGCACGAGTCCCCCTTGCCTCCTGATCATCCCGAATGTGCTACTCCTCCGAGTGATGTCCGTTTCTCCTCTCGATTCTCCACCTCCACTTCCGCCTCACCACATCATCATCAGCAGCAGCAGCGTCATCATCACAAACTTTTAATCATCATCACCATTCTCATCATCACCACCATCACCACCATCACGATCACCATTACCACGATCGTCATCATCACCACCATCATCGGCAGCATCCTCATCATGATCATCACCATCATCACCATTATCATCATCACCACCACCAACAACATCACCATCACCATCACCACGATCATCATTATCACCATCATCATCGGCAGCATCATCATCATCATGATCATCATCATCATCATCGTCATCATCACCATTACCAACACCACCACCACCACCATCATCATCATCGTCATCGTCATCATCAGCATCATCATCATCATCATCATCATCATTATTGGCACCGCCATCGCCACGACCCTCATCACCATCATCATCCACATCATCATCATCATCATCATCATCACCACCACCACCATCAACATCACGCATCAACATCAGCATCACCACCACCACCACCGTCACCATCACCATCACCACCACCACCATCATCATCATCAGCATCATCATCATCATCATCATCATTATCAGCACCACGACCGTCATCATTACCATCCCCCTCATCATAATCACCATCATTATGATTCATCACCTTTATCACCGTCATCACAGTCATCAGCACAATCATCTTGATTATTAGCATCATCATGATCCTCAGCACCATGCCATACGCAGCATCACCATCACTATCATCATCACCATCAGCATCGCCATTATCATCTGAATCAGCACCCTCATGACCGTCATCACCACCATCACCATCACCGTCACGGTCACATTCATCATCAACACAATAGTCATCATTCTTGTATCCACCATCACTGTCATCATCGTCATTATCACCACCACAACTACCATATCATCATCATCACCATCATCATCGCCATCACTATCACCATCATTATCACCATCATCATCCTCAGCAGCAGCAGCAACAACAGCAGTAGCATCCTCCTCCTACTCAACCTCTCCCTCTTCCTTGTCCTCGTCCTCTTGCTTGAAAGCCATTGTGCCCTCTCTGGAATTTGAGCCCTCGCTGGAAGCTTGTTTGTTTGGTCTTGAACCGCGACCGCCTCCTGTGCTGCGACGCCTGTGCTATCAAGCTGGCAGCGTCCCTGCCGTTCGCACGTCGCTTGGCCAACGCGGTCAGTTGCCTTGTCCGCACAGCTTTCTTCGGGCCTCCTTGCGCGGACCTGGAGTGGCAGGCGCGGCCCGTCTTAGCGCTCTGACTTTACCGCTAAGCCATGGAGACATGGCGTTTCGACACATTGCTCATGAGGCTCGTTTCCCGCACCTCGCCGCGCTCCTGCGCGCGCTGCCGCGAGCCTCTCGGCAGCTTGCCGCCCAGGGTACGAGCTCTCCGGCATGCTCACTGCTGCCGGGGATTGCCCTGGCCGGTTGGCAGCGGCAGGGGTGCTCCCCGATACGGAAAGAACGCCACAGGCGGAGCCCGATGCGCAAACGGGTGCCCACACGCTTCCGCTGGAGCACGCCGTAGCTGCAGGCGCAGCGCTGCTGCGCACCGCCGTAGAAGTTGTGCGTGCTTCGAGCGGCCGATGCCGTACTCTCTCTGTAGGGGCGCCTGGGCAGCGAGCGCACTGGCTGTCCGGAGGCGGTCCGGAAAGTGGGCTTGGATGTGCGGGCTCCTCCTCCTCCTCCTCCTCCTCCTCCTGCTCCTCCTCCTCCTCCTCCTCCTCCTCCTCCTCCTCCTCCTCCTCCTCCCCCTCCCCCTCCTCCTCCCCCTCCCCCTCATCCTGCTCCTCCTCAACGATGGCCAACGCCACCAGGGGTCTGGCCCCCTGGTCGGACGATGCGTTCCGCATCAATTTCGCTGGCGTGTCTGGCTGCCTCTCTTCCGCGTTGCATGTTGCTGCCAGCATCGCACGCGTGCTGGAAAGGGTCGAGTCTGTGGTCCAGTTCTCGACGATCTTGGAGACCACGCCATTTTTGCATGACTGTGGAGTCCGCAACCGTCTGCATGATCGAGTATGCGACGAACTTGAAACATACGCTCGCACACCGGGCCTTGCAGCCACACGCGAAGTCGTCTTTCCAGAGCTGGCCACTGAAGCCATGTGCGGGTCGCGCGCGAACTTCCAGCTCTGGGGCCACTGCTCGCTCCCAGCTTTCCATGGTGCCGTCACGGTAGTCAGCACGCGCAACCGCCGCGGCCATTCGGAGCTCGCTGACGCGACCGCTGCCGAGGCTGCGAAAGTAAGAAAATATGAAGCTCGTGGCGGAACTAGTGCGCAGGGCCTTGCATTTGAATTTGGCGGACGGCGTGGGCCGCAGCTGTCGCGTCTGCTGCAGCAGCTGGCAAGCTTCACCAGGCACCAGCGCGATCTCCGTGGCACAGGCTGTGCACGGTCACTCCTCCGCGATTGGCGGCAGCGGAGTGCCGTCCTTTCGGGGCGAAACACTGCGGTGTTCGTCTCCTCCGCTACCGCACCAGCGTCTCAATAGTGGGTCGCTGAAGCGCCTGCACGTCGAAGTTTGTCCGCAATGATAGTCCAAAAGAAGTCGAATGATCATCATCCCCTCATCCTCATCCTTCTCCTCCTCCTCCTCCTCCTCCTCCTCCTCCTCCTCCTCCTCCTCTGTCATCCTTCTCTCCCTCCTCTTCATCCTCATCCCCTTCCGCCTCCCCCGTCTCGCTCGTCCGTTCCCTCTCGCCGCCCGCACCTCCTGCCCGCCCCCCCCCTTGTTCGCTACGCCGCTGCGCCTCCACCCGGCGGATCCCGGAAACCCTCCGTCCAGAGCGGTTGTCATCTTTGGGGGGCGCATCTTTTACTTCCGCCGGCGGAGCCGCTCTCGCTGCACTTTTCCGCCGCCGCCCTCCGCCGAGGGAGAGCCGATAGCCCCTTCCGTCCTCGAAGGCGGAGCCCTTTCTGGAGCGCCTCACCCATGGAGAGGAGGGGGAGGAGGAGGAGGAAGAGGAGGAGGAGGAGGAGGAGGAGGAGGAGGAGGAGGAGGAGGAGGAGAGGAGGCGGAGGAGGAGGAGGAGGAGGAGGAGGAGGGAGGGGGGGGGGGGGGGGGGGGAGGAGCCCCTCTCCGTTCTCGCTCGTTTCTCCCCCCCCCCCCCCCGCCGCCGCAAACTCCCCTGCGGCTCCCCCGCCCTCCCTGCTCTCGCGTGCTCTGTCGTCTGCTTCCTCCTCTTGTTTTTGTGGCCCTCGCTCGAAGAAGAAGAAGGAAAACGCCGTAAACATACACGTTTGGCGCTCCGCGCGGATTTCTTGGATCCGCGCTTGGGCCCCCCCGGCGGCGCCTCCGGCGCCGGCCCTGGCGCGCTCCGCGCGCCAGACCCAGCGCAGATCCAAGAAATCCGCGCGGAGCGCCAAAAGTGTATGTTCATGGTGTTTTTCCTTTACCCTCTCATCGTAATCACAAACTCCTGCTGTTGGAACCGACTGCTGGGCCTCAGGTGGCCCAGCATAAGTTCTGGCCAGCAGGGCGGGCGGGCAGGTTCGCGAGGCTCTGGGTTCGGGAAGGTGTTTTTGCCTTCTTCGGCCTCCGGGTCTCGTTTTCGGGCTTGGGGGCCATTTGAAATGGAGCTGGTGTCAAAACTGCACCAGGTGGAACCCGGGAGGGGTCTGGGAACTGATTTTGATTGATTTGGCCGCATCCCACCCTCTAGACCGATGTTCCCCCCCCGAGCCGCGAATTTTCCGCAAACTCGGCCGATGACCGCCGCATCCCTAAAGATGGTTTTGGTACCCGTTAAGCCTATAGCGAGCTCGGTAATCCTGGAGTCATTTCCGCGAACCTGGTCGCCTTAATCTCAACTCGGCACGACGCCCTCGGGCGGAATCCAGCCTCCGCCTCTCCCTCCCTCGATCCCCCCCTCCTGCCCGCCCCTCCTGCCCGCGCCATACCAGGACCAGCCCGCTGTCCCCGCCGCGAAGTCGCAGCCAGGGCCTTGGAATGACAACGAGGACCCGTGGTCGAAGGCGGTGGACCCGTGGTCCAAGGCGGGGCCCTCGTCGTCGTCCCGCTGGCCTGTTCGCGCATGTGTGCGCATGTATTTGAAGAGATCCACATGTATAGATAGATAACTGTGTGTGCGTATGTGTGAGAGTGTGTGTTCGTCTCGGATCCCGGCCTCGGAGATGTGAGATGCATCTTCGATGCTATCCGAAATTGGTGTTTATCAGCCCCTGTAGGAGAAGTCGTCGTCATGTTATCGGGAGTCCGTGGCTCGTGGTTTCTCCTCTTCCTCCCCCATCCCTCCATGAGGACGAGGCAGGGAAGGAGATGGGGAGAGGAGCGGAGCAGCACGAGGCACAGGGAGAGATGTTGATTTGTTTCTGGGGCATGGCCGTCGATGCCAAAACATTTCCGTGATAGATAGGGAGGGCTGATAGAAGAGGAGGAAGAGGATGCAGCGGAGGAGGAGGAGAAGGCAGATGGGGGAGGACAACGATATTCATGGTCGAGCGATGGCGGTGGCTTCAGTTGTCCAATGCGGTGTCCTCCTCACCCTTGATTCAAACGCCATGGACAAGATATGCACCCTTACGTATCGTACTTCTCTTCATCCTCGTGCTCCTAGTCCTGCTCATCTGGAAGCCCAACGCAGCATTACAGCGAGTGAGGACGTGTTGGGAGATTGTGAGGTTAGAGGATTTTGACGAGGAGCGGGAGAAGGAGGAGGAGGAGGAGAAGGAGGAGGAGCCCCGATTCCTGTCACTTCAGGGTCCCAGGATCATCTCGAAGTAGCAGGCACAGCGTTAGAGCACTCCAAGAGGGATTCGATAGGAGGCGCCCAGTTGCCACCGGCTTAGAGACGCTTGCCAGGAAAGGATATGCACAGATGGGGATCTCCGCGTCGAATAACGTATGTCAGAGTTGGTGCTGTTGGTACGTATCTCAGAGGGGATTCTTCGCTTTTCACTAAGGCTCATGATGAGTAGAAGAGTAGGAGTGGGAGTCCTGGGAGAGAGGGGGTGAGGAGCCTCCTTCTTTCCCCCTCCTCTTCCTCTCCCTCCTTCTCACAGGAGGAGAAGAAGGAGAAGGAGGAGGAGGATGAGGAGGAGGTCGACGGGGGGAGATACGAGTCAGAAAGTAGGGGTGGATGGGAAGGGAGTGCAACGAGAAGGGGGAAACGGAGGGAGGGTACGGAAGGGAAGGAGGGGGACTAGGGCGAAAGGGTTAAGAAGGTGGAGGAGGAGGAGGAGGAGGAGGAGGAGGAGGAGATGGAGGAGGACGCGGAGGAGGAGGAGGAAGCGGCGGGGGGGGGTCTGCGCAGGAGCGGGAGGGGGGAGGCACAGAGAAGACACACGTCGGCCGTGCCCGCGCGGATCCTCTCGGCCCCCGTGGCCCGGTCCCCCACCCTTTTGGCTCGAGCGCGCCCTCGGCGCCCGCCGGGGACGCCGGAGGACGCCCGAGGACCTCAGTGTCCTCTACGCGGCCCCGACTCCCTTCCGGGGGGTAGTTCCTGAGCCCTGGAAACAACAGGGCAGTTTTTGTGACCGGTTCCGTGTTGCCCTTTTTGGTGGGACGTTTCCGTCGCCGTTTGTGTTGCAGTTTCCTCCGTCGCCGTGTTTTTTTTTGTTGGTCCCGTTCCAGTGGCGGTTCCAGTGCGGCCGCGAGCTGTTTTTTGTTGCCGTATCCGGACGCCGTTCCAATCAGTGCTTGCACTGAAGGGGTCCTGGCGGAAATTGAAAGATTTGGCGAAAGTATCCTGCCGATTTTGGTGGCCGGCTGGATTCCCGGGTTCCCAGTTCGGGGTTTCCAGGTTTTTGGTCAAGGTCCAGGGCCGATTTCGGTGGGTTCCGGGTTCCCGGGTTACCAGTCGATCTTCTTCTCGATCAAACCATCCATTGATCGGAGTTTTTCCCTTGTGCAATTGTTTGTAACAGTTCCCACGTTCAAGAGATGCCTCTGAGGAAGCGGTGAGAAAAAACAGCCCTGCCGTTGTTCTCTGGGCCGGCGAAGCTCTGATGGTCCCAGTCGGGCGATGCGCGAATGGGTCGGGAGCCTTGAGACGGGGTTTGAGGGTTTCTCCGAAGGGCTTTGGTGACCCGTCCTCCTCCTCCTCCTCCTCTTCCTCCTCCTCCTCCTCCTCCTATTCCTCCTCCTCGTCCTCCTCCTCCTCCTCCTCCTCCATCTCCTCCTCCTTCTCCTCCTCCTCCCTCCTCCTTCCTCCTCCTCCTCCTCCTCCTCCATCTCCTCCTCCTCCCCCTCCTCCACCCTCCTCCTCCTCCTCCTCCTCCTCCTCCTCCTCTTCCTCCTCGTCCTCCTCCTCCTCCTCCTCCTCCTCCTCCTCATCCTCCCCCTCGGGTCGCCTACGGCCCCGGGGGAAACCGTGCAGGGTCAATGCAAATGGGGCCCGATCTTGCAGGATCTTGCAGAGCCAGGGTCGCATTGACCCCGGGCTTGGGCGCAGGGTTGGCCCGGGCTTGGGTGCAGGATCGCAAGATCGTGCGGGATTCTGCAAAGCCCGACTGACCTGGGGGTCTGGATTGGCCCTGGTCAGAAGATCCCCGAAGGGGGGGAATCGATCCTTGGGGGAGGGCGTAGACAAGAAGTGCACCCCTTGCGTTTTCAAGGAGGACTATACAGAGGCACCCTGGGGCCCACAACGGGGCACGAGAGGTACACGCCTCTCCGCCCTCCCATTTGGCCCCCCCCCACCCAGTATCGAGCAACGCCCAGCCCTGGGCCCGATGACGGGCCCCTGGAGCCGAGACTGGAGCTTTTGTTTATTGACACCGGCATGTTTACTTGCATGGACGGCGGGGGTGGCTGAACCTGCAGCAAGCCGTAAACGAATTGCGCGTGCGGAAATCATGCAAGTCGAAAGGCGCTTGCACGCTAGCATTCGTTTGAAGAGGGGCGAGGGGGGCGGGGGGGCGGGGGAGTGGGGTGGGGTGGGGTGGGTGTGGGGGGGGGGCGAACGCCATGCAAGCAAACTTGCCTGAACAAAAGAACAGGCTCTGAATACTCCGAGGGCCTGCTCCCCGCAAGCTTCTGCGCGCCAGCGGCGATGGCTGCCAGGCCGAGCCTCGCGGAGCTGAAGGCCGCCGGCCGCGCCGAGCGGGCCGCCGCGCGGAGGCGGCTTGAGGCCGAAGGCGCCCGCGCGCAGGCCGCGGACGAGCTGTGGGCGGAGGCCTTCGACGCCGTGTGCGACGCGGCGGATCTGGAGGCCCCGCCCGGCCTCCAGTGGCGCCCTCGAGGGCGCGAAGTGGTTCGCGCCGCCCTCGCGGTTCGGCTCCGCTGCCTCGTCTTCCTCGTTCGTCTCCCCTGGGGGGGGGCGGCGCGAGAGCGTGAGGTGCTCCGCGCAGCGCGCAGCGCGGGGCGCGAAGTCAGGCGCCCTTGGTCCTCCTCCTCCTCCTCCTCCTCCTCCTCCTCCTCCTCCTCCTCCTCTTTTTCCTCCTGCTCAATCTGCTGCTCCTCCTCCTCCTCCTCCTCCTCCTCATTATCCTCCTTCTCCTCCTCCTCCTCCTCTTCCTCCTTCTGCCCGCCGTCCTCCTCGGCGTCCTCTGGGGAGGGCGCGCGGCCTTTTTCAGGCCGCGGAGGGCTGCAGCCGAGGGCCTTGCCTGCCGTGTGCCCGTCCTGCGCACCACGTGTCGGCCGCCACCAGCGTCGCATCCTCCATCCTCGCCCTTCCTCCTCCTCCTCCTCCTCCTCCTCCTCATCATCATCATCATCCTCCTCCTCCTCTCCTCCTCCTCCTCCTCCTCCTCCTCCTCCTCCTCCTCCCCCATCCTCATCCTCCTCTTCCTCCTTCTCCTCCGTATGAATTATCCATGTCGCACCCCGAGGCAAAACATGGCAACAGTTTCACGGGTGGAGGGCGGGTGGTTTTCAACATGTAGCTCTCGCCATAGCGCCGCGTGCAGTCTTTTGACACAAGTTTCACGGATTAATGGCAGGTTGTTTTCAAAGTGTGGTTCTCGCGTTAGCGCCGCGCACATTCGTTTCAAACATGTGTAAGAGTTCCACGCATCGAGGGCGGGTGGTTTTCAACATGTGGTATTCGCTTTCGCGCCGCGCACATTCGTTGTACATTGTTGCAAGAGTTCCGCGGGTTGAGGGCGGTTCCCTTTCGAAATGTGGTTCCCGCTATGACGTTGCGCACATGTCCTAAATATTTGCAAGAATTTAGCGGACTCTCATGGCCAACGTACCCGAAATTGCGTTTTGGAAGATACCAAATTCATGAGGGTGCAACAGTTACGCACATTGATTCGCGGTGTTGAAGTCCCAGGCGTTGCTTTCTGGCACGATTCTGGATCGTCAAGAAGCAAGAGTCAAGTTGATCCGTTGCGTTGGAATCCCGAGAACAATGTTTTGGCACGCTTCAGGGTCTCTCAGTGGAGATGAACCTCTGTATGGGCCAACGAAGCGGGAGCTTGGAGGGAGGATATGTTTCCAACATCGTTGATGGTTCTTCGGTTTACACTGGTCTTTCTCCTCCTCCTCCTCCTCCTCCTCCTCCTCCTCCTCCTCCTCCTCCTCCTCCTCCTCCTCCATCCCCTCCTCCTCCTCCTCCTCTCTCCTCCTCCTCCTCCTCCTCCTCCATCCCCTCCTCCTCCTCCTCCTCCTCCTCCCTCCTCTCCTCCTCCTCTCCTCCTCCTCCTCCTTCCTCGTCCCCCTCGTCCTCCTCCCTTCTCCTTCTCCTCTCCTCCCTCCTCCTCCTCCTCTCTCCCCTCCTCCTCCTCCTCCTCCTCCTCCTCCTCCTCCTCCTCCTCCTCCTCCTCCTCCTCCTCCTCCTCCCCTCCTCCTCCTCCTCCTGCCCGTGCTCCTGCTCGCCCGGGCCCTCGTGGCCCGGCTCGGGGCGCTCGTTGGCTCCAAGACAGGCTTTCGCGGCGAGCCCCGGGGTGGAAGTGAGAAGGGGCGGGCTTTCTCAGAAGGCTCGTTTGTGCATGGGAGGGGAAGAAGAGGCAGGCATTTCCAGAATCGAATCAATGAGTCGGATCGGCGATCGAAGCGAAGCGGATTGGCCGGAATCGACGCCTGGATCGGGAGAAGTCTAATCGGCGGAAATCGGCAGGCTGGTAAGGTCTCGAGTGAGTGCTTCTTCGTCAAGATCGGGTGTTGTTGAAAAGGAGGGAAACAAAAGTAGAGGCCTCACAGATGGGGTCCGAGTAGATGGGGTTGGAGGATCGTGCCGCCTCGCCGATGCATCGCCGATGCATCGCGATGTATCGGCGATGCGGCGCGATCTTCCGACCCCATCTACTCCGACACCATCTGGTAGGTTTCTGCCAGGTGGGGGAAGTGAGAAGGGGCGGGCCTTCTCAGAAGGCTGGGAAGGCCCCCGGCCTTCTCAGAAGTGTTCAAAGCTTTCCCCGAAGACACAGAAAACTTCTCCTCGGAAGGCCGGAGGGCCTCTGAGAAGCCCCGCCGCCTTCTGAGAAGGCCGTTTCCTTTGCGTTTCCCCTCCCTCGCTCGCCGCCGAAAGAGAGGTCGCCGCGCCGTTTGTTCCGACGCGCGGCCGTACGTCCCCAGACCCCCTCGCGCTGCGAACAAAAATCGCGACTGGAGGGTTTTTGGCACTTTCTGCCTCCTGCGGCCCTCACCGAGCCACGGGAGCGTCAAAAAACGACTCAGGATGATAAACCGGCCCTGGGGAAGGTGTCCAGACTTTGGAGGGTCTTGTCATGAAAAATCGCGACGTCGGGGGTCTGGGAAGAAAGACACGTCGCCGCGCCGTTTGATCCGATGCGCGGCCGTACGTGTTGGGGAGGTCGCCTCGGCCACCAGGGGAAGTGCCACGGTGCCATCTTCGTCTGCTTTGGCGCGGGACGAAGGATTTGCCTTGGCTTGCCGTGGTGTCAGCCTCGTCCATTTGGGCGCGTCGAGAACAAACGACGAGGCGACACATGCACAGCCACGCGCAGAGGGGGGTAGGGGGAGGGGGGAAGGCCACCTGAGAAGCACCTCTGCTTCTGAGAAGACTTTCCCCCTCTCCCTATCCCCTCGTGCGCGCCGCCATCATGCTGCAAGTGCCGAGGAACCGCGGCAGGCAGGAGGCGCGCAGGGAAGCCCTTGAGCATTTGAGGATTTGGAGTCCGGGCCCTTTCCTACCCAAGCCGGTGGGCCGAGGGCTGGGGCCACAGGGGGACCCGATGGGGCACTCCAGCTCGTGCCTCACAGCACGGCGGCGGATTACAGCTGGTGCGCTGAAGAGGGAACCCTTTGCGTTGGGGAGGGGCTCGGTGTTCCTTGATTGTTGTGCAGTGTGCCAGAGGTTTCCCTGAGGTTTTCCATGGGAACCGAAGTTTGAACCTACTGGGAAGAAGGGCCTCGTTCCTTATCTCGGGTTCCTTAGGTCAGCGCCCCGACTGTGGGGCGCGTGGATGTGCGACGGGTCCCGTTGCCAGGCGCAGGCGACGCGCTCCGTCGCCAGATGGGGCGGCACCGGGGCCATGCTTCGGGGCGTGCTTCTTCCCCGGTCCGTGGGTCTGGCGCCCTCGCGCGCCAGCGTCACGAGTCCGTAGTCCATGCCAGCGCGTGCCCGATCCTCTCCGTCCTCCTCCTCCTCCTCCTCCTCCTCCTCCTGTCTCCTCCTGTCTCCTCCTCCTACTCCTGTCTTCTCCTCCTCCTCCTCCTCTTCCTCTTCCTCCTCCTCCTCCTGTCTCCTCCTCCTCCTGTCTTCTCCTCCTCCTCCTGCTGTCTCCTCCTCCTCCTCTCTCCTCATCCTGTCGCCTCCCGTCTTCTCCTCCTGTCTCTCAGGAGGGAACCAACACACATAGGCCCAAATCATTGTCGATGTTCAGAAGGATCCGGAAACTACGAGACGTGAAGGGGAAGACGAACGTCCAGAAGACATGACAGATATCGGGCATCCTGGGATGTGTGTCTATTCGCTTGTGTGTCCCCAGGCCCCTTCAGTCTCTGGCCCCAGGGGCTGTCGTGCGCGACCCCCTCCCGCAGCCTGAGGCCCGCCCAGCGTGGGGCGTGCTAGCGAACCGCTGGCCGCCGTCCCACCGCTCTCGAGGCCCCCGCTGCAACTTTCGGTGGCTTCTCCGGCCTCTCGGGAGCGCGAGCACCCGAGGGAGGTGAGATCTGGCGACAAGGGCCGTGGCTCCAGAGCAAGCAGTCTGTGAGGTGTGACACGTGGTACCTCCTCCTCCTCCTCCTCCTCCTCCTCCTCCTCCTCCTCCTCCTTCTGCTCCTCCTCCTCCTCCTCCTTTCGGCCGCCTTCAGGGGGCTGCCTCGTCCACCCAACGGCCGGGCGCGGCTTAGGAAGCGGGGCCAGGCTCGGGCCCCCCCGGGGAGGGGCCCCGCGGGCCAGTTTTTTTTTGTTTTTTGAATAATCGTACTTGTGAATGATAATCATTGTGAATAATCGTTTTTCATTTTATTATTTTCATCATTGTTATTTCCATTCGTATTTTTCAATCGTTTTATTCGTATTATGTTTCGCGTTTTTATTATAAGTCCGGGGCGATGACGGTCGTCACCAGGTGTGGGGGGGGGGGGAATGGGGCCGGTGACGTCACGTTTCGCGCCGGCCGCGTCAGGGAATGCTTCGGAATGGCCGAGGACGGGTAGGAGCAGCATGTAGGTGGCGATCTGCACCACAGCGCTGGTGTGAACCACAGTGCCTGCGTGCACCACAGCGACTGCGTACACCACAGCGCCTATGTTATACCACAGCAGCCGCGTGCAACACAGCGCCAGCGTGCACCACAGTGCTTGCGTGCACCACAGCGCCTGCCTGTGTTCACCACAGCGAATGCGTACACCACAGCAGCCGTGCAACACAGCACCTGTGTACACCACAGTGCCTGCGTGCATCACAGCGCCTGTGTACACCACGGCGCCTGCGTGCACCATAGCAGCCGTGTGCAACAGAACACCGTTGTTGTAGATGGAATTCCACAGGAAACAATGATATTATATTGGGGTTGGACAAGGATCTTTACGGAAACAGGAGCGCCTCGGGAATCGATGAGTCCTATCTCTCTCGTTCTCTCTCTCTCTCTCTCTCTTTTTTTTTTTTCTCTCTCTCTCTCTCTCTCTCGGGGAGCATGCGGAGGAGGAGGCGGAAGAGGAAAAGGAGGAAGAGGAGGAGGAGGAGGAGGAGGAGGAGGGGAAAGAAAAGGAGGTGCCGTGCCCTTGGGATCGGGACGCGCGTAAAGACAGGGGCGGCGTCCTCCTGAAGGAGTTTGCTTGAGGCGTGGGGCACCGTGGAGACAGTGCAAAGGGAGGCGCTGTGGCATGGGGGCGCTGTGGCATGGCACCGTGGCGCTTGTACTCTTTTCTTGTCCATGCCCATGTTGTGGTGCACGCTGAGATGCGCATGTGCGCTGTAGCGCCGACCCGCACGACGGGGAGAAGGGTGAAGGGGGAAGAGGAGGAGGAGGTGGAGGTGGAGGTGGAGGAGGAGGAGGGTGAGGGTTGATGGGGGGGGGAGGAGGAGGAAGAAGAGGAGGAGGAGGAGGAGGACAAAGAGGAGGAGGGAGGAGGAAATATCATCGCATTTGATTATCAGCACTGATCTTCGCGTGGTACTCGGCTGTCCTCAGCAGGTCCGCGCCTACATGCTCCTCCCGCATGCCTTGTGCACCCAGGCATTCTGGTTTCCTCCAGCGTTGTGTTGCACACGGGTGCCGTGGTGTACGCGGGCGCTGTGGTGTACACAGGCGCTGCGGTGCACGCAGGCATTGTGGTGCACACTGGCGCTGCTATGCAAACGGCCGTTGCGGCGTACACATTCGCTGTGGTGTGCACAGGCGCCGTGGTGCACGCACGAATCTTGGTGTACACAGGCGATGCGTTGCGCGCGGCTGTTGCGGCGTACGCAGGCGCTGTGGTGTGCGTGCGCGCTTTGGTGCACGCGAGCATTATGGTCTATACGAGCGCTGCAGCGCAGATCGCCAGCGACATGCTGCTCCTACTTGGCCTCGGTCATCTCCAGGCATTCCTCCTGACGCCGCCGGCACGGAACGTGACGTCACCAGGGGGGGGGGGCGGCGACGGCCGCTGTCGTGGAAACAAAAAAATCAAACTCCAGCTCCAGGGACCCCGCCCATGATCACTGGCGCGCCCCCCCCCGCCACTTCAGCCACGACCACGACGACAATGATGACGACGACGACGACGACGTCGAGCGACGACGGCCAGGACGGCGGAAAAGACAACGGGTAGGAAGGCGTCGAACGGCGTCGGCGACGAGGACGCTGACGACGAATACGTTGAGGATGAGGGCGTGGCTGGCGAGGCCGAGGGCGACGGGGACGACGTTGAGCCGACCACGCACAGAAAGGGGGGTAGGGGTAGGGGGGGGCTTCTCAGAAGCAGCCTCCTTCTAAGAAGCCTCCCCCACTCCCCCCCTACCCCGACTTGCGCGCCGCCAAGCCAGGCCAGCATCGAGAGGATGGCGGTGCCCAGCGGCGCGACGGTGCCCGGGAGGGAAGAAGAGCGGTGCTGGAGGAGGAAGAGGTACCCAGACTGCTACGTTCACCTCGTTCTCGTTTTTTGGGGCTTCCTGGGAGGCCCTCGTCGCCACGGCTGAATCTGCCGCGGGATTCTGGCCTACACGCACGCCTTGAGAGCAGCGGTGCCGGTGCCCCTTGGCTTCCCTGCGGAGAGCATCCTCCGTGGCACGCCGCCGCCGGGAGCCCGTCGGCGGGTGTTGCTCCCTCGGTTGTTCTGCCCGAGGGCGCGGCACTTCACCGGCAGCGACGCGCTGGTGGTACTCGTCGGCCTTCCCTTCTTCCTCCTCCTCCTCCTCCTCCTCCTCTTCCTCCTCCTCCTGCTGCTTCTGAGGAGTTTCTTCTCGGGCCGCACTGGGGAAAGAGAGTAGTCGCGGAGGCCCAGGGGTTGACACCAACACCAAGATCGGCGGTGTGCCTCCACCGAGGGAAGTTGCTCCCGATCTCGGCGACGGTGGTAACACTCGGGCTTCCCAAGTGGACGAACTATCGCCACCAACACCAAAATCTAGGACAGTCTTACCCCTGTGGAGGCGACCCCCTGTGTAGGAGGAGGAGGAGGCGGAGGAGGAGGCGGAGGAGGAGGAGGAGGAGGAGGAGGAGAAGGAGGAGAAGGAGGAGGAGGAGGAGGGAGGGAGGAAGGGAGAGAGGGGAGGGGGAGGGAGGGAGGGAAGGGAGGGAGGGGGGTTGGTGTTGGTGCCCATTTCCAGGCCTCCAGAGTACGGTCAGCGCTTCGCGAGTCGTGCCGCCAGTTGTGGCCCACCCCGCTCGGGCGCGGCACGCTGGCCCACTGCCCGGCTCCCAGGCCTCGACGCCCGCGCACTTCCCCGCCTCCTCCTCCTCCTCCTCCTCATCCTCCTCATCCTCCTCATCCTCCACCTTCACCTTCACCTTCACTTTCACCTCATCCTTCTTCTTCTTCTTCACCTCCTCACTCTCCCTCCTCCTCCTCCTCCTCCACCTTCACCTCCTCCTCATCCTCCTCATCCTCCTCTTCCTCCTACTTCTCCGCCTCCTCCTCCTCCTCCACCTCCTCCTCCTCCTCTTCCTCCTTCGCCTCCTCCTCCTCCTCCTCCTTCTCCTCCACCTCCTCCTCCTCCTCCTCCTCCTCCTATCGGCCCCGCCGTGGACTCCAGCGGTCGCGGTCCTATTTCCTGAGCGCCTGCCGCGGAGCGGAAGGACACGCTATATCCGCTTGCAGGGCACAGCGTGTCGCCGGGGCTGCCGTCGCGACGCGCAGAGCCAAGGGATCGCGGCCGTACAAGCACGCCGCCGTTGGGAGCCCGTTCGTCTGTCGCGCCGTAGCTCTTGTCCGAAGGCGTGGAAGATCTTTCTCAGTAGCACGCTGCAGATGTCATGCGCAACGTTGGGGGGGGGATGGGATCAAGGGCGAACGCATCGATCCCCAGTCGCCCACTGATCGCCGATCGCTGCCCGACAGCCCAGCGCCCGCCCGGGCACGTACAGACTCGCTGTCGGGGGCTCCGTTGCCGATCGATCGGCCATGCATCGCCAGTTCCACGTCGAGGCTTGCCCGCCTGCGCCAGCCCCCCCCCCCGCACACCCCCGACGTCGTGCTTTTGTCATGACCTGACCCGCAGAAGTCCGGACCCCTTCCCAGGGACCAGCTTTTCATCCTGTTTTGACGGCCCCGAGGCCCTGGAAGGGGCCCTAGAGGCCGAAACAATAGCGACAAAATGCCGCCGTGGTTTTTGTTCACGACGCGAGGGGGTATGGGCCTCCCGTGCCCCCTCACGATGCTGCGCGCTCGATGGTAGGCCCCTTCTGGACCGCAGCCCAGCCAGCTCTCGCGCGCCGAAGCCGTCGTCTGTTCCCCTGTGATGAGCTTCCCACGGCGGCGTGTGTCATTAATGCTGCCGCTTGGGGACCAAGCAGCAGCATAAGCAGAAAGAGTCGGAGGTCCGCGCGGATTCCTCGGGTCGGCGCTGGACCTCCCTCCAGGAGCGCGCAGAGCTGGCGCGCAGAACGCGCCAGTGGCGCAGCGCCGATCCGAGCGATCTGCGCGGACTTCAGAAATGTTTGTGGTCATGTGGTAATGTCCTTGTTGTCTCCCCGCTCTTGCACGCTGGCCAATTCGCCATTCGTTCGGTTGCCACGAGTCGCCACTCGCCTGTGCGGGCCGCCCTCCGCCTCGCCGCCGACGAAGAGTGTGTCTGTCATCGTCTTGCTCCCCTGCGATGGGCTTCCCACGGCAGCGTGTGTCATCGATGCTGCTGTTGCTCCCCCAGGTGCTCGTCCTCGTGCCCGGCTTCGCCTCGTGGGGCGCGTTCACGCGCGAGCACGCCGCGCGGTGGCGCGGCGCCGCGGTGCTGCCGCAGGCTACTGTTCGGGCGGGCGTGTCCTTGCGCAGGAGGAACATTCGAGAATAGAACAAAATTGTATGGGGACTATTTATCTTGCCTTTTTAACTATTGTGGATTCTGGTTTCTCTATGTGTTTAATATTTCTTTCAATTTCCGCCTGAAGGAGGGCATACCCGACTTAAGGCTACTTGCCTGAAGCATGTCACCAAGGATCGACCCTAGACCCCCTGGAGTCAGGAAGAAATCACGACAGGATATGTTTCTATATGTTCTGCCTCTGGGGGGCCATTACCGGGCCTCGGGGCCGTTAACAAAAACGGTATCGTATGAAACACCCGTCTCGGGGAATGGGTCGAAAATTATAGGGATTGGACGTCATGAACAAATCATGACGTCGGTGTTCTGGAGCTACGGCGCTGTTGAGCCTGGTTTGGGCCCTAGCATTAGTTGTTCATTGTTATAGGGTCGTTTCGTTTTTGGCTGCTGTTTCAAGCGCCTCGTTTCGTTACTGTTAGCGCAAGTTCAGGTTTAGATATCAGTGTTGCATGATGGGTGTCGTTTCGTTGTTCGTTTTAAGCGCTACGTTGTTTTAGACATCGGTGAGGTTGGTCCCCCAACACATGCCAATCCTGTAGATGGGCATCACCCTATGTCGATGCCGATCTTGAGGACCCCCTTCAGGTTCTGAGGGTGCGTCCCTAAGGGTGTCATCGCCCTTTGGCTGGCGCCTCTTAGAAACAGGGATAGGCCCGAGGGCGGGAACGGTCAGGAACTTTGGCTTAGCGTCGTCGCGCAGCCGGTTTGGGCCTATCGTGCTCCGGCGCGACACGCTGTCCACGTCCCCGTCTCCGAGCATTGACGTCCCGAGCCCGCCCGAACATCCCGCCCCGCGGAGCGGCGCGACGCGCTACCCGCGCGCAGGGCATAGCGTGTCGCCGGGGCCGCCGTCGCGATACGCCAAGCGAGAGCTTGCCCCTCTTGAGGGGGGAGGGGAACGGAGCGCTCGAGGAGCAAAAGCTTGCACGAGCTCACAGTCTCGGAGGCCCACGCTCATCTCTGGGCTCTGCGCTGTGCCCCCTCACCACCCACCAAACCACCCCAACCCAACCCGAAGGCTCAGATTTACCCCCGACTTCCATCAGTGGTGGGGGGGGCAGGAAACATCGTAAAAAGACACAGGTGGAACCCTTACCCCCCCCCAACCCGAAATTCGGGTCTTCGGGTTGGGTTGGGGTGGTCCGGTAGGCAGTCCCGCAGTCCCCCCCCCCTGGCGGCGCCTCTGCCGCCGCCCCTGGCGGCGCCTCCGCGCGCCGGCGAGGGGGGCCCAGCGCCGATCCGAGAGCTCCGCACGGACCCCCCCGAAGAGTCTGTGGCATGAGCTCCCGGGGGCACGGCAGGATCAGAAAGACGCGAGCCTGGCAGGAAGACACGCAATCGAAGCAAGGGTGCCCTCGAGGGCGCGAAGTGATTCGCGCTTCGCGGTTCGGCTCCGCTTCCTCGTCATCCTCCTCTTCTCCCCTGGGAGGCGGCGCGAGGGCGCGAAGCTGTTCGCACTTCGCGCTTCGCGCAGCGCGGAGCGCGAAGTTGGGAGCCCTTGCGAGGCCTGGCGAACAAGACGCGGCGGGAACGTGGAGTCTGCTCCTGCCCTTTTCTCTTTGTTCCCCGGCCCGCAGGGGCGCGGCGCGCTCGCGCTGGCCTTCCGCTGGCCGTGCGGCGAGGTGCGGTGGTCCGCGGAGGACGCGCACGTGGAGGCGGCGGCCGCCTGGCAGGGGGCGCACGAGGCCGCGCCCGCTGCCGCGGCCGGGCTCGCACGGCTGCTCGCCCATGTCCGAAGGAGAGGAAGCAGCGCAGAAGCCTCCTCCTCCCTCCCCCTCCTCCTCCCTCCTCCCTCCTCCTCCCCCTCCTCCTCCTCCTCTTCCCTCCTCCCTCCTCCTCCCCCTCCTCCTCCTCCACCTCCTCCTCCTCCTCCTCCTCCTCTCCTCCTCCTCCTCCTCCTCCTCCGCCCTCCCCCTCCTCCCCCTCCTCCCGGGCGCAAGTTGGGTCGTTGACCGGCTGCCTCTTCGGGTTACTGGTTCCTCTGCTTCTGCATCTGGGCGACCGCGGCTGCCGCGTGGTCCTGGCCGCGCACTCACTCGGGGCGCGCGTGGCGCTTGCCGCGTGCGCGGACGAGCGCTGCGGGCGCGTCGCGTCGCTCTTCTTGGTCGGCGCCGCGGTCGACAACGACGCCCTGGGCAGCGCGCCGGGGGCCGAGTTCCCCCTCGCGCGGCTGGCGGCCAGGCTTCGCAGTTTACCGTTTTTTGATTGCTCTCTCTCTCTCTTTCTTTCTCTCTCTCTCTCTCTGTATATGTATATGTATATATACACATGTATATATGTGTACACATATATATAGATATGTATGTATGTCTCTCTCTCTCTCTCTCTCTCCCCGAGCCCCCGATTTCCCCACGAGATGTCGGGCCCCTCGGAACTTCGGCTACACGCAAGAGTGACCTTTCGCCGGAGTGGCCTTTGATGCTGGCACATGGGGTTCCCGGGTGCTTGGACGCGGTGCGTTACGGCAGAGGGAAGGGCACGCCCCCCCTTCCCCGAACCCGAAGCTGGCACGCGCGGGGGAGACTGCGGTCGAAGGGCGACTCGTCAGACCCACCGCCAAGTTTGAAGATTAGGGGGAGGGGGAGGCGTTGACTCAGGTCGGGCCTGTCCCCCCACAGGCGGATTTTTGACGACAAATGCAACCGATTCAAAAACATTCTAAACAACATTCGAACATGTTCAAACTTGTCAAAACATCGCCCCCCGACCAGTTTGGACTTTTTTGGGGATCTTCCTCCTGTGACTCCTGTGGGCGGGACACGCCCGACTTGAGCGTTGACCGATGACTGTGGCATTCGCTGCTGCCGCTTGCTTCCCGCGGCCTGTCGCAGGCGCCCTCGCGCGGCCCAGGTCTTTTGGCACCCCCCCGCGGCCCCCGCGGGTCGCGCCCCCGGAGGCCCAGCCAGCCTGGGGCCCCTCCCTGCGCGCCGTCGCCGAGGCAGAGCCACGGCGCGCCAGCATCGCAGAGCGGATCTCGCTCGGCAAACCGGGGCGGACGAAAGGGGGGGATTGGGCGCTGCGTGGATTGCCTACCCACCCTCCTCCTCCTCCTCCTCCTCCTCCTCCTCCTCCTCCTCCTCCCCCTCCACCTCCTCCTCCTCCCCCTCCTCCCCCTCTTCCCGAGGGGCCCATTCCTCGATACATAGCCGCCTCCGGCGCCGGGAGGCGCCGGGAAAATCAGCTACGTGAGCTGATTCTCAATCCCCCCTTTGCTATCCCCCCCTTTCGCCCGACCCGAGAAAACCATGGGATGGGCCCGGGGGGTCCTGGAGAATGTCGCTCGGGAGTGCGAGGTTCATTTCCTGGCCAGGAGTGTGAAGACTGAAACAAATCCGCGGGAAATTCACGCCGTGTCTCGCTCGCTTGTCCGGGTTTTTGCACTGGCGGAAATCCATGCAAAAGTCCGCTGCAGCACGTCTGCAGGATCGGTGCAGTGAGAAAAGGAAGGGAGCTCGGGGGTACAGCCCCAGGGGGCTACAGTCGGCCCTGATTTGGAGGTCGACCCTGCCAGATCAAGGGTACCCTTGTGTCCTGTGCCTCGCGACCCATGCCTTCGAACATTCCTATGGCACTGTTGCCCTCGGAAGGATCTTGTGTCCTCTCGCGTGTCCTCCCCAATGAAGGCCTGCTGTGTGCGGACGCACCCCTTTCGAGGATGGGCGCCCCTCATCGTATGTCCCCAGGTTGGGCCCCACATTCCTTGGCCCATGCGAAAGCCCACGAAGTCGGGGGTAGGGGTCGACGTATGCTGGCTTGCGGTTCGACGAAGAAAAGAAGAAGAAAAAGAAGAAGTTCCATACACACGCATTGTCGGAGTTCCGCGCTGATTTCTTGGATTTGCGCTGGAACCCCTTTGGCGGCGCCTCTGGCTCCGCCCCTGACGCGCGCCGCGTGCCAGGGAGAGGGTGAGGAAGCGCGCGGAGACGCCGCCCCTGGCGCCCTCCATCCAGCGCCGAGCCAAGACCTCCGCGCGGACCTCCGAAAGGTTTGCGTCTACGTTGGGGGCGTTCGTCGAGGAATGCGCCCCGGAGGCCTCAGAGCCCGGGGGGAAGGCCTTCTCTGACGAGGGCGGCCGTGATGTCCGTGGCCCACGCACGATGGGAGGGCCACCAGCCTCCAGGCCCGGGGTCCCCGATCCACTGGCTCCCCTTCTCCGACGCCGATGCTCTCAGCGTGTGCGCTCGTGCTGACATCGGCGTAACCCCAGCATACTATCAGGAGGGAAAGAAACACACAGACACAATTAGTCGTCGATTCCCCAGAAAATATGGGAAAATATGGGAAGTGGGGGGGAAGACAGAAACCCCGAAAATCTGGGAAAATACGGGGGATATTTTTATTTGTGTGTATTTACTTGTATGTCCTGGGGCCCCTTCATAGTACTACTGATGCTATGTGCTCGCCGCCCCCCCAGGAGCGACGCGCGCACCGACAAATCTTGTAGCACACGCGTCGAGACAGGCGCTTTCTGGCCGCACCGCTCGGGAAACGGTATGACACACAAGGTGGTTCTGACATTCTATGGTGGGGTCGGACGCACGCCTCCGAGGAGGCCACATAGTAGTATGGCCCTCTGCGTCCCATGGCAGGTGCGCGGCGATTGCGCTCGTGCGCTCGTGCTGGAGCCTGTTGTTTGGACTCCGGCAAGTTTGCTTGCATGGACGGGGGGGACTACCTAACTTGAGGCAAGCCGCAAAACGACCTGCACGGGCGGAAATCACGCAAGGCGCGAGGCAGCTGCGCGCGAGTATTCGTCCAGAAGACGGGCGAGGGGGGAAGGGCCGACGCCGTGCAAGTAAGGATTGCCCGAGTCTGACAGGACAGGCTCTCGACAGGTGCGCGGCGATCACGCTCGTGCACAGCTCCCAGGACCAGGCGCTGACGAGGCTGTACCCGCTCGCGGAGTACGCCCGCTGCGGCAGGACAGCGGCGCCGGCGCTCGGCGCCACGGGCCCCGTCCCCAGACGCCCGACGCCGTGAGTTCGAGCCTGGTTTTTTCTCAGACTTCAGCAAGTACCAAGTCGGGCACGGCCCTCTATTACAGGTGGAGTGCTCGGACCTCGTGTTCTCTGTTCACAGTCGGGGGGGGGGCGTATCTGTGGTTATCTCTTGACGAGATGTTTTCTTGTCTAGGATCCACCTGTAGGGGGACGTGCCCGACATTATAAGCAAGTTCACTTGCATGGGCGGGGTCCTCGGAAGTCCCAAGCTTGCTTGAATCTGAAACCACGGGCTCCTTTGGGTGCGTGCCCCCCGGGGCCTCCAGGGGCAGCGCAAGGTGGGGGATGGGCTCAGCGGGGGGGTGATGCATCGGCCTCGGGGTGCATGAGCACGTCGAGGTTCAATGTTCAAGGCTTTCGGGCGTTTTCACCCCTTTTTCTGTTATTGCATTGTGGCACAATTTTCTGTAACAGTGCCCTTGTTTACCCTGCAAGACGTATCTAAATCGAATAGATGCGTTTAGATGCGATCGCGCCCAGGTGCAGGCGAGAAGCCCATCGTATCAATGTTTCTGCAACGACAATATACATAGATAGAGAGAGAGAGATGCGCGCTCCCGGCCTGCGCGGGAGCGCCGCCGTACCTAAGCGCATCCATATTAAAAACAATATAAAGATGTGTGACCGTATGTTTTCCTTCAAGACAACATATACATCAGTATTTGTTCCAAAGAATGGCAGTGCCGCGCCGTATCTATTCGTACATAATTCTTGTCATAACGAATGCTGTTGGCTGTGCTCTCGGCGCGAACAAGATTCATGATGTATATTGGACGAAGCAATGAACAGCGGGATGGGGATAGTGGGAAGCCGTACCGATGAGGAGTGAGGAGACGAGCGACGACGACAAAAACGACGAGGAGTAGGATGGAAAACAACGACGAAATGAGATTTAGGAGAGAACTGGATCGGAACAGGGAACCGTACGATGGGAGAGGGAAGAGGAGGAGGAGGAGGAGGAGGAGGAGGAGGAGGAGTGATTCGGACGATGAGCGCGGACGGGGAGGAGGAGGATGAGGACGCGCGGCGAGGAGGCAAGAGGAGCGAGGTGGAGTTGGAGGGAGCGCCAGAAGGATAACGTGGAGGAGGGGGAGTCAGGACGGGGATGAAGTCGATCAGCGATTGAAGGGAATGGCTATTCTGCTTCGATCTCCTCGTCCTCATGATCGTTCGGCTCGCCCGCCGTCCATGATTTCCCACTTCACTTCCTCCTCCTCCTCCTCCTTCTCCTCTTCTTCATCATCTTCATCGTCGTCCTGACTGGCATGTGTATTGTCTTCCCTGATCGAGGTCATTGAGTGGCCCAGGCCTGGCAGAAGAGACATGGCGCCGTACCTATTTGTATATGTTATTGGTGGACATGTTATCCAGCGATGGGTGCCATATTGGACCGTATGTAAACATATCTAAACACACATATATAAATGCATTTAATACATGACCCCGTATTTAAACTTTTTGAAGGACACATACCTCCCGTATCTAAAACAATAGGAGCTCGCATCTGAGCGTATTTGTTTTTGGAACATATCTATACGTATATATACATATATATATATATCTACACATGTCCGTATCTAATTGTCTGCGTAAAACGCTGTACAACACATATGATTAAGAGAGACAGTTTAGATACCACGCCGCCCTTCCGAACGCAGCTGCCGCTGGGGAAAGGAGCAACCGAAATAGATGTTTGGATGTGTCTTCCAGGGTACTTCGCCTGCCCAGCC